GTTTTTCCACGTCGCCCTTTGGCGGGAGCTCATGAATGAGGCCAAATGCAGTGACACTGACCTGGTAGATCAGATCATGGCGGGCATGCCGATCGTCGGCGATATTGCCTCCTCCCACCGATGGAAGCCCGATCGCAAACCTCATGCGGAGCATCTCTCGGTTGATGCCCTTCGCTCGAGGGCCTGGGAATTTCGATCGAAGGTGTTAGGCGCGATTCGGAAATCTCCGATCACCGAGCACTCTCCCAAGGTCTGGGAAGGGACCATGGAAGATGTTCGAGAAGGGTCGGCGATCGGTCCCTTCTTCGACGAGGCCGAAGTCTCGGAGTTCGTCGGCGATGATCGTTGGATCCCTACTCAGCGCTTTGAAGTGGTTCAAAAGAACAAAGTCAGGGGAGTTGACAGTGCTACCTCAAATGGGATCAACATGGCGACGATCGTCACCGAGAAACTCGAACTCCCCTCGACGGACGCGAACGTGGCGGTGATCAAGTGGCTGCGCTCGCGGCTGCCGAAGTCCCCGCTACGTGGTTGGGTCCTGGACGAGCGGCGAGCCTATCGGCAGGTGCCGATCTCTCCGGCCCATCGCAAGTGGAGTGTGGTCGCTCTGAAGGATCCGGCCACGGGAAAGGTGGCGTTCTTCGTGATGGTCGGCCACTCCTTCGGCTTGGTCTCGGCCGTCTATAACTACAACCGCCGCTCGGCTGCGATTACCGACATTCTAAGGCGCGTGTTCATCGTGGCCGGCTTCAACTTCTATGACGACAAGTACGGCTTCGAGCCGGAGGCCACGGCAGATAGTGCGTTCGCGCTGGCCGAAAAGGTCCATTGGTGGCTCGGGGCCCGGTTCGATCAGCAGAAGCTCCAGCTCTGCTCGGATCCCACGATCCTGGGCGTGACCTATGACCTCGATCAGTACTTGCTCAAGATCAAGAAGTCCAGGAAGCAGGAGCTCTTCGACGAGATCTCGTCGATCCTGGAACACGAAGAGATGTCTCCCGGCCAAGCCGGGAAGCTCAGAGGAAAGCTGATGTTCGGCGCTTCGCAGCTCTGGGGGAAGATCGGCCGAGCCTTCCTGAGATCTCTGTCGGAGAGGCAATACTCCCGGAAGACGGTCAGTACGAGCCTATCGCCTGCTCTCCTCTACTCCCTCTACAAGTGGCGGACGCTCGTGATGCATGGGCCTCCGAGGCCTATCCCCAGTTCGGGGCCGCGCCGCGGAAGTCCGACGTGGTGATTTTCACGGATGGATCGGCGCCGAGCTCGAACCCCAAGGATCCCTCTTCTGAGATGATTGGAGGAGTGATGTTCACTAGGGACGATCAGCCTAGGCAATTCGCCTCGGGGGTGTCACGGCAGATCATGTCGAGGTGGTTCCCCCGGAAAACCCAAATTTGCATGATCGAACTTTTGGCCGCGGTCGCTGCGATACAGACTTTCAGGGAAGAGATCCGTGGAAAGCTGGTCCTCCTCTTTATCGATTCCGAGCCTGTAGAGGCAGCTTTGATCAAAGGCTACTCTGCAAAAGAGGACGTCTGCGAGCTCGTAGGAATTTTCTGGGAGCTTGTTCTGGAGCTTAGGTGCTCTGTTTATATCGATCGGGTACCGACCGATTCGAACCCGGCGGATAATCCCTCTCGTGGTGATGTCGCTACAGGTCTGATGTGTGGTTGGATCACTGTCCTCTCGGACTTTCCGAAAGGAGTTTGAGGGCCTGGGAATATCGCTTGTCTGATGTGTCCGATCGGATGATGTTGCGGTCTGTGGCGAATGCCATGGCGCACCCCTCGGCGATCGGGGGTCCGATCGGACTTGTGAAGATCAAGTGAAATTTTGATGATCCGACTGTGGCCGACTCCCACGTTGCGGTCGCATGAAAAAGGTGCGATCGCCGATAGTCTGTTCAGTGAGGGCACCGAACGTCTGCGATCGTAGTAACTGGTCTCCTAATTATCGGTCTGGTGGGTAGGAATTAGGAGATCAGTTTCGCGATCGTTGGAACAGACTTGATCTATCTTCTCCGTGGCCATTTTGGCGATAGCCGATCGGGCCATACCGAAAAATCCCACCCTCTCCACCCTATCTGTTCTTTTCGGTATGCGGGATCCTCGCAACGACGTTGGCCTTCAAGCGCTCGCTTTCGGCGACACAGATCAGCTCTGCCGTCCCTGCGTGGATTGCGGCCTGTTCACCGGCTGCTTCTGCGACGGGGACGGCCAAGACGAATGTTACGCAGCCGTTCGGGTCCCCCGCGAAGAGTGGGCCCCCAACCAGCGCACTCCTTTGTGCACGGCTTGCGATCGTCGCCTGGATATGTGTCATTTCTGCCGAAAGACCCCCTGGGTCACGCCGCCGGCTCATCGTGATCGCGATCGTCACCAGCCGGCCGGCTACGATCACGGGGCAGATCCTCCCCTCAACTGGGATCAAGTGATGGGCGTGCCCTCTGTTCAGCGGCCGGTGCCCAAAGCGCCCCCGGCCAGAGCTCATCGAAACAGAGGCATGGATCAGCCGGTCTACTATGTGGATCCCAAGGCTGGTCCGCCGCGCCAAGGCCGAGCGGCTCCGAAAGGGCGTTCTCCTTTGTTCGCCGAGCCTGCTCAGTACATAGTTCCAGGGCAGCCCCCCAGATCGCTCGACACGGTGCCCGATGATGTCCGCATCAGCGGACCGGCTCACTATGTCATTCCGGGGCAGCCCCCGCGGCGGCTAGATCAGCTCCCGCCCGGTACGCAGCTCCCTCCCGGCACCGAGATCATGGTGTCTACGAGGAGCTCGAGTCCGCCGACCAAGGCGCCCCCGACTCCCGCCCAGATCGCGGCGTACCAGGCTTCTCGCGCTACTCCCGCTCGGACGAGAGCCAAAGCTGCTCCTGACGCAGCTTTTCGTGCCGCCGAGCGGCAGCTGATTGACTTGCTCGGCGCGGCCCCCCTCGACGATGATCCAATCGAGGAGCCGTCGCCGGAGCCCGATGATCCGATCGAAGACTTTTAATTTTATTCGCGGGGAATATCGCTTGTCTGATGTGTCCGATCGGATGATGTTGCGGTCTGTGGCGAATGCCATGGCGCACCCCTCGGCGATCGGGGGTCCGATCGGACTTGTGAAGATCAAGTGAAATTTTGATGATCCGACTGTGGCCGACTCCCACGTTGCGGTCGCATGAAAAAGGTGCGATCGCCGATAGTCTGTTCAGTGAGGGCACCGAACGTCTGCGATCGTAGTAACTGGTATATATATATATATGTATGTATGTATATATATATATATAGACATGCACACATGTCGAAAACTTCCACTGAGGTCATTCATGTATAAAGTAGCGTTCACTGCAGTATGATATGACAATATGATTGCTAAGCACTGCATACCAAGTATGCTTCGAGACAGACGTTGGATATGTTTGTTTTGGTGCCTCATGAAAACTGAGTGGGCACACCCTACTAATGAGCAGCGAAGCAGGTGTTCCCAAAGCCAGGTATGATACAGCAGTAGTTAAGTACGGGTACTACGTACATGCGCAATATTCCACCGTTCTGTTTTGCAGGCTGCATGCAGGTTGTTGCGCCTCCATGCGGCCATAAGTCAACACCGGTAATTATGAGGCATACATATATATATATATATATCGGTATATATATATATATATATATATATATATATATACACTATGTGCACCATCAAATCCGCGAAGCGTTTCCCTACTCAGAGCCGTCCAATCGGAATGCAAATTCCCAATGTATTGATTTTCCCTGCTCAAAACAGGCATTCCACTACTTCATCATGGTGGTGATTGTCGCAGTGGTCCCAGCAAGACTTCGAGTTAAGTCAAGTTGCACCCACCTTCTCAGCTGCTTCTATGTCAGAAAACTTGTGCAAGACACGCTAGTCAAATCGTCGTCAGAATTGTCGTTGCAGCAGCCGCAGGAGCAGCAGTTGCTTTTGGTAGTAGGATGGTCGTGCACAGTGAGCAGCAGGGGCAGAAGCAGTAACGAAGCCCGAGAGCCTGATAACTGATGACACAGCACCCGGTTTCGCATCTAAGAATTTGCTATCGCCCGTGTTTGACAGTGTTGTAGTACCCGTTGCAGGCATTACTATGGTGGCCTCAAAGCTCGTCTTGTTCATCTAGCGGCAACTGTAATCGCCTTTAAGAGACGCATTCACCACCATTTCTGCGACTCCTCAGGTCAGCACCTTCTGCGTGATCGTGGAAACAGCCATGGGCTCGGCATGCTTCAAAGGCGGCCTGCAGAGGAGGAGGGTACCCTGAAGCCAATGTGGCCACACTGGAATGATGGCACCGACAGAGTCCAGAAGAAGCTAGGGACACCAGGGTACATACATGTACATTCAGATGAAAAGAAGTAAGTAAGTCAGTAAGTACGTACGCGCATTAGTAACAACTGAGTGGAGAGTGAATAAGTACAGTAAGTAAGTCAACAAATATATTCGTATGTATTCGTGTCGTGCAATTATGTATGCAGTTTCTGCTTGTATACATACACAGTCATAAAAGCAAATGCAAAATATCGATGCAGACATGGATATATGTATATACATAATTATAGAACAATGTAGACACATACGCACACACACACACACGCATGTGTATATATATATATATATAGATATATGCATACGTACATACATACACGTATGTATATACACACATACACATCTGCTGTTGCACTTCTGGATCTATCTTGCAGATGTATACATGGACCATAGTGTTGCATCACAGAGGTTCCCGAAGTTTCGGGCAATCCCATCTTTCTCCCGGCCGAGGCACGTTGGGTGCAGGGGCACCAAGTACAATCGTTTTGAACAGCTCAACTCTTGCGAGTCGTGAGCAAGTAAAATGTTCCTTGCCTTGAAATTATCCGAGGGTGTCACTGGGAAGGTGCCTCGATTGGTGAATCAGAGACCTACAGATGTAGTTGAGTTAAGGTGTGCGAAGAGAATGACGACTGCCTTCTCCGGTCACAGCCGCATTGCAGATGTGCTTCACAGCCCTCTTTACGGCCGAGTTCGCTCTGCGGCTTTACGCGTGCGAGAGCGTCGCTGAGCGCGCGTCCAAGGACCCTGATTGCCTGATTGTTTCAGTCGCAGTCTAGGATCTTAAGTCAAGACTGCAAAACCCTGCACACTTGCAGCCCTGGCATAGACCTTTCAGAAGCTGCTCGAACACCTGATGCCTTGCCGAGATTCGCGACGAACGGTTTCAACATTATCGACTTTCTGGCTGTCTTTCCGGGGTGCCCGGTGCTGTGTAGATCTTTCTGGAGTCGTGGAGCTTGAAATCCTGAACTGAGTCGATGCCGTGCGTTGGTGGGGCTTTAGTCGGATCAGCACAGATCCTTCTCCGCAGATCAGGTTTATTTGAGTGCAACTCACTGGTGTCATTCTGTCAGCCTGAGGTACTTGAGCCTACTCGGCGTCATGCTTCGTCAAGATACGCACCAAAAGCACTCCTTTGCGCACATTGGTCAGGCCGCACCATGTTTCTTGCTACATGCTACATCTTCCTGCGATTATTCCTGTGGGGATGAGTTACCTGCAGCATGTAAGCTTTACATGGTGTCGGGTTGTACATCATCCCATGCTATGTTGAAGTACTATCTGGCGTTAGATAGTTCGTGTGCAGTCTTGACGCGGACCTTTTGAATCTCTGCCCGGGTACATGATTGCGTGCTGCGTCATCAGCTCGAACGTTTTGGCAATACTGCATGAATATACATGAGTACACGAAGTGTCAGAAATAAACAGGTCTTTGATAACGTCACAGCAAAACATACGGATGGTGCCAATCAGACGCATGATCCAAACAGTGCTGCTGCAATGGCCATGAGATGCAGTTGCCGTCGGAGATAACAATGTTTGAAGTTGTCGATATTGATGCTACTGTATCAACCTATGGTGATTATATAGCAGCAGAATATCTTGGCATGCCGCACCCACACATACGTACATGGGTGCGTAGACGCGCATACGGCACCACATACACGCACACATAAATACATGCACACATACATACGTACATACATTTGTATATACATACATATATACACACACATACGTACATACATACGTGCATACACATGCATACCACGCACCATCACGAATTGGTTTGCAACTGACATCAAAAGACTATTGATGAACATGTTCAGTAAGGCACGTGCAAGTGTAGACCTGTAGCCCTGGACCTTGTAGGCCACGAGATCAATGCGATCCCTGCGCATGGTGCGCGTTGTGCGCATGGCCAAGAGCTCAGTCATGTGGGTGGTGATTGTGTAATAATACCAATGATGATCGGTCTACGTACTCGGCTGTTCTATCTTCACCCGCTGGAAACTGATACACACTCGGCGCGGTCGGAAACCAACAGACAAAAAAAGAGTTGCAGCTGGGCGGAAAGCAGCTTTCAGTGCTTGTGGTTGCGTTTTGCAAGCAACAACTCAGCAGCTTAACGTTTAAATATAAATACTCTGATGCAGGCTTGTGTCTTGGGAATGGCAGGTGTCTGCAAGGCAATCGCGTCGGCGACCGAACCTCCCAGAAGATATACTGACAAGCAAGGAACTCACGTTCTCAGCACCAGCATGGGGGACAGAAGTGAACATAATTGCATAATCTAGACGAGCATCAGCTGGCTTAGGCTGCACAGCGACGAGCAACCCTGAAGAGAAACTACAGTCGTTGGCAAGAAAGCTACACATCAGCGGCTGTCTAGTTGGGCAGCCTCTGGGTGTGCGTCCCAAATATTCTCAAATATGGGAGTTACTTGCATTGAATTGATTGCAGAGTGCAAACGAAAAAAGTTGGCACTGAGAAGGAACACATACCAGGCCTTTTGAAATCACATTCGTGTGCACCTCATGTCAAAAATGAGAAATTAAGCTTGTTTTCGCAGAGTCCCTAGAATGATATTGCACAGTCGCTTTGTAATACCATCACGTTCAGCTCCTTGTCGAGGTCCGCGTCTTCCGCGTAATGCGCGTCTGCAAAGTGGCACGACACTCCGAAGCGTTGGCTGTGACCTTCATGGTCTTCCTGAAGGCTGAATCATCTTGTATTATCATGTAATTCTTATAGTAATCCTTATATAGAACCCTTAAAGCCATTTCTGTTGTTCTATAGTATTTCGTTTGAGGTGGAAGGTCATTGGAGAACCGGGCCTCCGTCATGCTTAGGGGCCCTATAGCTCGTGTACACCAAGTGGAATGCTGAATTACATCAGTCCCCTACTTAGGGATGGGTTGGATGGGAGTCTTCAGGCTTTCAGACAAATCGTTTTGGAGCTGAAGGAGTTTATGGCTTGCCGCGAAGAGAGGGGTGGGATCGGCGATTGAGGGCTTGGGTTCAGTAGACGTCAATGGTCCTAGACGGTGCGGGATAGAGCATCAACGGGGGTGAGAGGCACAGAACAGTTGTGTACACGGCTTCAATGTCAAGCTGCAGTCAAGCTTGGAAGGCCTTTCATGGTCTGAAAGGATCTCGAAGCATAATTTCTCCCGGATATGCCAAAGTGTGCAGAGGTTCTCGCTCATGCTGGAACCACGTCTGCGGAGTCAACCAGCTTCTCACAGAAGCATCTTCAGAGACGAAATGACAACACAAATTTCTGCACGTAAACGCGTGTGAGTGTATGTTCGATCGAGTTCTACTCCATGCTCTGTCCAGTCACATTTCTCTGTAGTTGAAGAACAGCGACACAGATCAGTCGATTCGCAGGTCTTTTATTCATTGTCGCCATGCAGGTGTCTCAATCTGGCTTGGCCGTGGTGCTCATGCTGATGGGCTTCGCAACGGCCGGGTTGAGGGAAGGAATGTTAGGGAAATTACAAGAGCAGCAGTTGGAAACATAGCAACGTACGGGTTCAATAACGGCCGCGAATTTAACGGCAGCGACACTACTGCTCAGTCGTTCTAAGTCGTGTTCGCGTCGATATCGAGCAGTTGAACTGGCAGACTGGGAGCCAAGTTGCCAGGTCGCTGCGCGGGGATGATGACATTCAGCGTTGGCGATTGAAGGGGTTGGAGCTTCGAGGCTTTGCTTAGTCCAACTTGACGGTTTGACGAGATACGGCAGCCTCACTAGTCGTGGTCTCGGGCTTCCGTGTCATCCTGCAAGTTCCTTGGATTTCCGATTTGGCTCGTGTTTGCAGCTGGAAGAGAGAGATGGATAGACATACAAAGCAGCACCAAAACGCTTGTCCAGCAGCACCTGTTTAGCTGGCAGATCGAGAGACATGAGACCACCAGGGGGAAGCCTCAGTAAGCAGCCTTGGGGGCATCCCAGCAGCAAAACACACGGGACCAGAACCCCAACGCGATCTAGACACCCGAGCAGCTGAGCGACGGCTGCACGCCCGACACCCCGAACTACAGCCATCCAGACGTGGGCGAATACCGCTCGCATGCTTTGGATTTTCACACCAGAAGCGTTTTCGCAGCTGGCCCGAGGCCGGGAATTGTTCATCCTAGCTGAGGGCTTCGGAATTGAGGGGTTTTAGGGGTGTCTTAGCGTGTCGTGAGCTTGATGGACTCGGGAGTTAGATAGCTTTCAGCCTTTCCGATCTCCCGAGATCCAAGCCTCAAGCCGCCCCTGGCCAGATGCCTTCGGATCCCGTGCCAGACACTGCGGATGGCGCGGAAGGTACAGAAGCCTCGGATGAGGACTGGCTCTAGGGTTTAGTGGGAAGGTGTCTCTGTGCTGCATACCATGATTGCTTCGTCCAACAATCTCTCGCTCTAATACTTTCTTGCTTCATGTCGATCAGCATGAAAGCACCCTACAATCAGAACACGATGTCATCTGGGAAAGCGACACCAAAGTTGCTACAATGTAGCAAACTGGGGGGGGCGCTTTCCCAGCTTGTGTCTACTCTCACTTTTGAGATGCGGCGATGTGCCAGCGGTCCGGGGATCTTGAACTCTTGGCTCCCAATCTCTGCAAGCTCGCCTTCATAGTGCCCTCATAGCAACTCCTATAGCAATCCTTGTGCCTCATAGACGTATCGTAAGCATCATTGTAACCTTATAGACTTGTAGTCGTCTTAAGCCGCAAATCGAAGCCCCAAAACCTTAAACCGCCTCATACAGTGTTTGTCGCTCCCTCGACTCCTGATATCCCGATGATGCAATACTGTTTCGATGACGTTGTAGTCGAGTACCCCCCCTCGAGACACTGTGGCATTGTGACAAACTCCGGAAGCCTCGTTTGGTTCGTGTATAGAGACCTTGTGAGGAATTTGCTGATGCGAGCCCTGGCCTCGCGGGCCTCGAACGGACGATGCACTCCGTGGCGGTTTTCAGCGAGTGCCTTGTGGGCGATTGAAGATTGAAGTTTGAGGGTTTCGCGGTCAGGTTTGTTGTGGAACGGCATGGCAATAAAGGCAAGGAAGCAACGGACCTGCCGAGCGCTTCGCATTCGGCATCAAAGTTTGGGTCTCATCACCTTTCTGCACCACCAGCCATCAGAACACTTCTTTCTGTCGGTGTAGGACGATCACGACCATGCCGACTAGGACGTCACATAATTACCATGATCATCTGCTGCTGCTGCTGCTGCTACTACTACTACTGCTGCTGCTGCTGCTGCTGCTGCTGCCTCTACTGCTGCTGCTACTACTACTACTACTACTACTACTACTACTAGTACTACTACTACTACTACTACTACTACTACTACTACTACTACTACTACTACTGTTGATGGACAAAATCCTGCATTACCTTAAGGACCCTAGACTATGGGAATTATGGTATAGTCCTTGTTATGGGTCATGCAGGATTTTGTCCATCAACAGTACTACTACTACTACTACTACTACTACTACTACTACTACTACTACTACTACTACTACTACTACTACTACTACTACTATACTACTACTGCTACTAACTACTACTACTACTACTACTACTACTACTACTACTACTACTACTACCACTACTACCACTACTACTACTACTACTACTACTACTACTACTACTACTACTACTACTACTACTACTACTACGACTACGACTACGACTACGACTACGACTACGACTACGACTACGACTACTACTACTACTACTACTACTACTACTACTACTACTGCCGCCACTGCTATGACTAGGAGGAGGACGAGGTTTCAGTGGCAGTAGCAATGGCATCACCATCTTGGTTCCGTTTGGAACGAGTACTTCAGGTGCAGCTACGAGTTTGTGGAGGCCATTATGCTGCACGTCCGGAAGATTCTGCTTCACGCCGGCAAGGCCGACGCGAGGGAGGGGGCGGGCAGGCCGACAGGGAGGGGGAGCCAGAGGGACATGACGGGAAAGAGATGGAAGGAGGGGATAGGGTTGCTGGTAAGTGCTGGTTGCGACAAGGTCTTGGTATGCGCATGTATGCGGGTTTCAATTCCGATCTAGTTTGCAGCCAAGATGTTTGTGTCTTGTGCAGGTCTTGGTGTCTGAAGACACAGATGCACCCAAGTCCATGCTACTTGGATCGCATGACATATGTATATTATTACTAATCGTGTAATTTAAAAATACAATAGAGTTACAATTAAAACTAATATATATATATATATATATAGTATAATTGTAATACTATGTATTGGTAGTTCAATATAGTACTGCTAACCTTGCACTGTCAATCACCGTCATCAAGTTTGGTCTCCTTGAGCTGCGGGTCTCCCCACACGAGATGTACACCACAACAGAGCTCAACTAACAGGAGGTTCTTTAGTTGAGGAGTATGCGACTTGGCAGAGCAATGAAGGCTCCCGTCCTCCTCGCAAGCAGCCCAGGTACGCGGTGCTGTGGGGTACGCTGGATGTTTATCGGATGGGCCAAAAGATAGGCGCGATGGAGCAGCTTCCTTATGCCCATTATAGCTATGCGTATTCCACGGACATGGGACCGGCGTGGTGGGCAACGGCGCAGAGCATTTGGTTTCACTGCAGATGGCAGTCGTAAGTTCTCGTTCTTGTGGCCATCCAAGCATGTCACAGTCTTAGGATACTGTTAGACTTGCAGCGACGCACTCGCCGTGCGATTCTGATTCGGCAGAAGCGGAAGTCCCTGTGAGGCAGCTTATCCAACGGGCAGGTGCTCGGAGAGGGGCTGCTGGTCGGGATCTTCGACAGGCCTCCCTGCTTCAGCCGTAGCCATGGGAAACCTGATGGAAGGCAGGACTGCATCTTCTTGATCCTGTATCTAGCCGAGACTCCCACAACAACCTCGACAGCCCCAAGTCTGCACCAGGACCAGGTGAACCCCAAGCACCATCCCTATCGACGCATAGCGCCCCCACCCTCGCCCACAAAAGCTAGGGCTTTACTTTACCCTAGTCCGAAATCACCGCGTCCCCAAAACCTCGACAAAGTCCCAAGCCTCGAACGCGGGTGCAGGTGGACGACGACGGTGGTAGCCCGCAACTCGTGCATGGTCTCTCGGCTCGGTGAACAGCCAGAGAAAAGGGAGACTTACCAACAATTCACGTCTAGATGCACGTACTTGTACACATACATGCATACATGCATGAGCGCACGCATATACCTATAAATCTATCTATATACAACTCAGCTACTGTAGCAAATGAACAGACGTATGCATATAGTACCCACATACAAGAAATGTTTGTGTATATATATATATATGTTATATGCATATGCATGTGCATTTTCATGAATCCAGTATAGACTGAGTCTATCTAGGTTCGTCGTCCATGACCGCTGCTAGACTTTATGCCGTAAAAAATATCTGTATATGCATATACATATGTGTTTATGTGCATACACACAAACACATGTACGTATATGTTGTAGTAGTAATGTGAGGGAATGCAGTGCAGTGTAGTGTAGCACACAGTACGGTACGGTACGGCAAACGCAAGGTAGCGCAAGCATGTATATATATATATATATATATATATATATAACATGTATGTACGTACGTACGCATGTATGTGTATATGCATGCATGTACGGATGTATGTACGCGCCTTAGCGCTTTGCATGTCGACTCGCTGATTGCGATTGTGACCTGCGAAACTTGTCAGCTCGAGGTTTGCGAAGTCCCACAAACTGCCTTAAGCGAAGCTCTGCTGGACCATCCGGAAGAGCAGCCTGGCCAGAGACAGCTTTGTTCAGAGTTGGAGTTTGGGCGCACGAACGGTTGAAGTTGCAGATGCCGTGAAAACGTAATGATGCGAAGGAGAGATTTCCGGAAGCTTCCCCCCAAAAATGGGAAAACGTTCGTAGCCTGATGGAATTCAAAGGTTGTGAAAGGTTCTTCTCTCTTCGTCAACCTTTTCGGGCTCAGGGGCTTGGAGTGTGACGGGATGAAGAGCTGTAAGCGGCGTAGAGGATGAACTGAAGTGTTGAGCCAAGGTCGGAATACTTCAAGTCATTGGCCGCCACTTGGTTTGCTTTAGACTCAAGCAGGACCTGGGCACTGCCTCTTCGTTACGACTGTCCTCTGCTTGTCAAAGTCTCTTTCACTTTCTGTACCTCAGCACCACGGGGTGCACAGGCTCCAAAGCCAACGCTGTCGTCAAGGCCCTCGTGGCTTTAACCGCTGGAACATTGGAAAACATCTGCTGTTAAGGTGTAACCGTTCCCTGGAGCTGGATAGAGGTCGAACACCCGCTTTGGTCTTCAAACATGGAACCATCTAAGCCAAGCTGGTCGCCAACCAACCTGATTTCCGCTGGTGCAGCACAGCTGACTTTCCAATTTCCACACTATGCAATGCACGTGGCTATGGTGAATGTGGGCTACGTACACCTCTTCTGATTCTGTGCAGTCGGAAGCCACTGAGGACTACTTCGGCCTCCGTGCAGAGGACAAGACGCAAGATAGCATCCCATGCTCCAAACCGTGTTCCATATGAAGCTCCGACTGATCCGAAAAGCCCAGGGAGCCTTAGTCGTTTTAGTCCAGCCCGAAGCATTGTACCCTCTTAGATCCGAAGGATCGAATGGGTCCGAACAGACCCAGACTTTGATAGGGGAGTGATACGCAATTCGAGCCTGGTGTATCAGTCCCAACCTACCAATCAGCTCTCGGCATGGGTCTTCAACTTCATGCGCAAGAAGTCAAGCCAGCGTGCAACTTGCAACACCGATGTAGGAGTTACTTGAACAGGCCAGGGTTTGTCTTCAGGTGCTTGTTGCTACAGATTTTGTTTTCAGGATAGGTACGGCTGAATGTAGAACACCTGGGAATTTAGAAACCGTCCCCGAACATGCAAATGTTACCCCAGCAGATGGAACTTGACTACATCTTAGTTACCAGCGAGCAGCGGTATAGTATGATCTCTACACTGTGAAGCGCAGCTGTAGCACAATGGCACAGGCTTTCGCAGAAACAGAAAGCCAGCAACCATGTAATCATCATCTTTGCCATCTGCAGGCACTTTAACTGTACACTCTAAACCCTAAGCCACATATCGACCCTGAGCCGCATTTGTTAAGCCGCAGGAATGGGCGCAGCACGGATGCTCAGAGATGCGCCTGGCACTACGCCGGCCTGCGTCTCTGCGCCAGGTTAGTGAGGCAGGGAGAGCTACAAGAACCGCTTTGGGGAGGAGCTTGCAAGTCTTGCCCGAAATTTGTCGCCTCTCGTGACAGTGTTCTGGGACGCGAAGGGGTGCACTGAGGCTTGAGCTCAGCAAGTCCTGACATTCGGTGCGCATCTGTCTGCGCCATATATTATGACATGCATTTGCACACACGCACACACACACACACACATGTATACGCGGAGAAGTATGCACACACACACACACACGCACACATCTTCATATATGTATAAATATGTAGCTGCATGTAGAGTATATGTGCATGTACATGATTCGTATGCATATACACATCCATATATAATCATATTTAAATATACATACATCTGCATATACATATACATATGCGCATACGTTTATGTGTACGTATACGCATGCATGTTCGTGTGTGCCAGTGTATGTCTCTGTGTGCATGACGGCATAATTATGGCATTCATGCAAGGTCCTCCCGCACCCGGCAAATAAAGACATGTTTTGTGCAGTCGGAAAGTTGTGCACTGTTGTGGGCAGGATTTCTTGGCTGCCCTGGAAGCAGGCACGCTTGCAGCTTTCAGATGTGTGGCGAGCGTTACAGATGGGGCACAGGTAGTAGCGGTTAGCGACAGCCGCAGACTTGTCCTTTTGACCCTGCAGCTTACATGGGTGTCATACATGTCATTCGGCAATTGAGCAGTCTCACTGCCTGTCCTGCTAGATCAAACCGGCTGTGTTAACTGTTTACTACTGTTGCGACAGCAAGAAATCAGGAGGTGCATCTGAGCCTGACCCATGCCCAGTCGTGCAGGCTTGGTGAGCCACCTCTATTTTGCGGGCGACGTCATACACACAGAAGGCGTGCTCGGAAACAGTTCGGACTCCGACAGATTTGCAAATTTGAGGGGTTGCGCCAGCGCCACAAACACCATGCAACCACAGCACCTGAAATCCCCCATAAGCCCTTTGCAAGATACCAATCCCTCCGCGCCTCCGCGTCCGCAGCAGGTCAAGAGGATCCCCCCTTGGCCTTCCTTTTTGATGGCGACGTGTCCGTCGAGGTCGATCTCCCCTTGTGGGAGTTTATTACTATTATTATTACTACTATTATTACTATTATTACTATTGTTAATCTGTCTGATTTGTACATGGCTTGGGCGGTACTTAAAGGATCATGGGACTTAGTAACTGGGGTATAGTATTAGGGTAACCATACTTATAACCCCAATTAGGGTACTTAGAACCTTACTTACTAAGTCCCATGAGCCTCCAAGTAGGGCTCCTTTGATACGTGTCTGCAACTCTGGTCGAGCTTTGTCTGCGTTGCAGGTGCCTGTGCTGCGTCCGTTTGCAGTTGTCAAAAGCCTCTTAGGAGAGTAAGCACAGCACGATGAGAGGATAGCGAACCGAGCGGGAAACCCTAAACGGCCCCAAGCCAATTTGCAAGCCTATTTGGGGGTTTCCGAACTTCGGGGACCCTAACATAGTACGCTTGAATAGTAGGATCCTTATTATAAGGACCCCAGAATAAGGTACCCGTAATATCGGAAACTCTCATTTGAAGGACCAGTTGATTGCAACAGTCATCTTCGCAGGCTGCCGGCCGCGCTGTGCGGCGCGAGGAGGTGGGATGGCACTGACCATCTGGGCAATCGATACGGGAGTTTCCGAAAATAGGGCACCCTAATCTGGTACTCTGAATAGTAGGATCCTTTTTAGAAGGACCCCAAAATAAGGTACGATCCTTTTATAAGGACCCCAAAATAATAGTAGGGTCCTTTTTATAAGGACCCCAAAATGAGGTACCCCTAATTTTCAGAAACTCCCATACGAGCTCAAGGCTTTGGCTTCAAAGTTTCGGAGGCTTACCGTCGGGCCCCTGTTGCGCCTTAGAGCCTCAGTTCTTAGCGGGTCCATCGGCTTTACGGGCATTCCCGTGAAACTCGTGCACTTGTGACGCTTCGGCTGGAACGAGCGAGAAACTCAGAGAGCACAGGAAGAGTATCACAATGCTGAGCAATTCTACCTGGTGCTTTGCGGTCCTTGACATGAGGTGTTCGGGGGTGTTCTTTCAAGTCAAGTTTTGGCATGTTTGGCCCCAACTCCTGCAGGTGCCAAGTATGGAAATGCGATTCGTGATGGAGGCCCTCAGCGACTGTAGCAGTCGAGCTCACAGGGTGGAGCAGTGTAGACAAGAAGATTGCTCGAGCTTGAAACGAGTGCTTCAGTTTTTGCCAGATGCCCTTGCAAGTAGAATGCGGGGGTTGAGGATGTGCATGTGGTATCCCAAGCATCCTTGCTTGAGACCCTCAGGGCGAAACGACGACTGGCCGGGGTTCCACGGCCATTACGGACAGCGAGGCCGCGTGCTGTCCTGGCAGCTGCTAAGGGACAACATCATTGTCAGCTCCTCCAAGCCCCCTACGAAACCGTTTTGGAATCTTCTAATAAGCCTAAGCTTCCAACAGGAGATACTTTTTATTGTAGAGTACACCCCGAAGAGTCTATTCTAGCTATTCAGGCCCTGATACATTGTAGAATCCTCTTGCAGATCCCTTCAAAGGAGCCCTTCTTCACGAGCCCTGTTCTGATTCTGGCTATTCTGCTCATTGTTACTGGTACCGCAATCGCCATTAACCTTCTTCCTGTTATTTTGTGATTATTATTATTATTCTTGTTATTCTTCCTGTTGCTCGTCTTATTCTTGCCATAGGTAGCTGTTCTCCTTAACCCTAAACCCTACACCCTAAACCCTATTATTATCATTTTGTTATTATTACTATTATTTTGATTTTTATTACTATTGTCATTATTGTTGTTACTAGTATTTTTATTATTATTGCTGCTACTATTATTATTATTATTGAAAGCTCTTCCAGACCGGTCCTGGGTCGCCCACGGCGAAGAGCCGGCGGTCTTCGGCCAGCGGCCGGCGTCTTTCCCAGGCGCGGAGGCCATCGGTGGACACAGGCACTCCTGGGGCAAAAAAGGGAAGCGAAGGGAAGGACGATTTTGGGGTTCCAGGGGCAAACAAGGGAAGTGAAGGGAAGGACGATTTTGGGGTTCCAGGAGGGTTTCTGCCGGGTTCTATGAGGGTTTTTTTCGCCAGCTGTTCACATTGAGAACCCCGTATGCAACAAGTGCTCGATCTTTCGAAAAAACAAAGCCACGAAGGGTTAAGATTCAATCCGCCCAGTGGTCCTCGAATTGTCCGGGATTGGTGTGAGCTCTGCCAGCGCTGGAGGAGAGTTCAACTCTTCACTCATGGCCGTGTCCAACCGTGCGAGGGCAGAGGCCATGATGGCGGAAGCAACAGCAGGCGCTTTCAGAGCTGTGTCTGATGCTCCGTGTGTTTTTGAGAAGCGCAGCTATCGCAAGCATGTCTGAGCCCAGTTACGCGCGGTGCTTTGTATGCGGTCATTTTGAGACGAGGCACCAGGCACAGCAGTGCGCTCTACAGAGCCAGACAGGATTCGGGTGGCAAAGTTATGTTTTCAGTGAAAATTTTGCCACAGGTGGACCGGAGCCGGGATTCATAGCACAATCCCTTCCCGAAGCCGCTGTCTTCGGGGAGGACGCCGTGTTTGCATGGGGGGAGGGTCTTGACAAAATGAGCCCGTAGAGTAGCCCTTATAGCCGCCGTGGCAGTAGCCCCTGTGGCAACCGTGATAGTAACCGTTGTCGTGGCCCTGATAGGAACTATAGGGTAGAGTCTGTCGGAAGATTCATTGAAGAGTCTTGGGGCCGTGTGTGGGAAGCTGTGTCGTGTAATGTAGTTAGGTGGTTCGGCCCTTGGTGCACAACATGCCGGACAAGAGCCACCTATTGATCTCCTGTCAGGCTGTCGATTCACAGGCTTCTACTGCAATGTATCTATGTGTGTGTATATATATATACATGTATATTTTTAAATTGACATGTGTATGTACATATATTTATGTATATATATATACATACATATAGGAGATCCTGACATCTTCAACATGCAAGTACGCGCGATTCACGTAATTCCCACTGGATATTAATACGACTACTACTACTACTACTACTACTACTACTACTACTACTACTACTACTACTACTACTACTACTACTACTACTAATATTAAGACTCATTTTCAATACCAATACTAGTTAATATCTCAGACTAGTAATTATTCATAAAAACACTCATACTAACACCTAACACAAGACAAAGCAATAGTTAAAAACCAAAAGCTCCCGCAGCCGCAGGAAGCTTTCCTGGGCCTTATACCCTGCGCAAGCGTCACGGTGCGAGTGTGCAAGATGCAGCTTGGCATTGCTGAAGCTTCTGGGCTCTATTGCTATCATTGTATTAGCCTTAAATGACATCATATAGTACTAGTATGAGCTTAGGTATTTGTATCAGTATTGCCGCCATTTTGGCCACACGACTGGTGCATGCTGGTGGGCGCATGTTGTACTTCGAGTGCAAGAGGCCCTCCCGGCCGGATCTTCGTGAGTTCTGCCAGGTCCTGCATAATATCTGCCACGGTAAATGCACCGAGATCTTACTGATGCAAACATCAAGTCATTAATGTCTGAATGCCTCGGGCCTCTGGTTGTCCTTGAACTAGTCTTCGGGACCACCTCAGGTCGGAGGTGCGACTTCTGTACCGGTCCGTGTTCGACCAGATCCTTGAGAAGTTCCCCGCAGATCGAGAGTGGCTTCAACGTGGCTTTGATGGCAGACATCTTACAACGATCTCTTAGCTGACGTCGGGATGTTGATTACATCTCTGCCAGTGCTTCCACCCTCGCTTCGCCGGATCTGCGATGCAGCACCGCTCAGCCTTCAGAAAGTCATTATGGGGATGTAAGGTCCTCCACCAAGTTCAACGGGATCTCCACATTGCATGTTTTGCCTGTACACTGACCTCGAATTGAGCCCTATAGACTCTAAGATTAGACCCGTTCCTGCACAGCAAAGGCTTTCAATTGGACGCCAAGCAAGCCTTTCCTTTCCACGACTTCCGGGACTCAGAGGGTTGCCGCTCTTGCACTGCACCGTCCCTTCTAGTAGTCTATTATTCTCCATCATCGTTGTGATTGCTTGCGTTCTATGTTGTTTGTAACCTCACCGACTGGCATTCCTACAGGGTAGTGACGGATGGGAAGCAAGTGAGATCGCAAGGCCTCCATGCATGTGTATGAGATCATGGGAGGCACCTAGGAAAGTATGTCCATCCATACACAGCTGACGCATCTTACGGATTATACATGCGTGTACAAATATCTGCACATTTTGTTTCCGTTTGTGTAACTGCTGGATATTGCCGTCTTCTCTCTCCAACTTTCGAACTCAGGTTCGGCAGGTGGTACCCTAATGCCCTAATCCCCAAACCTGCTCTGGAGGACCATCCCATCTGCCAGCACGTCGACCTTAGCAACGAGTTCTTCGACTTCCTCTCTCGACACGTCGAGCAGCGAATGTTTTTTCCAGGGGAGTCTTGGCCGCAATTCTCGGTGCTTGCGCCCCCATGGCTGCAGCAGAGGGTTTCCGCTTGCGTGATTATGAGTACATATATACACTGCAGAGTGTGGAGTTTTGATGTGTGTATTTCTGTCATGACTGTCCTCTGATGATGCCGTGACTGACTGCTATTGTCAGGGCCTCTGCAGGGCAGGACTCAGGTTCTCCAGGCAAGCGCCTCCCCCAGGATCACATCCTCCCGGACAACTTGAGCCAGTTTGTGCCATCGTCCATCCTCTCGCCGACGCTGAACATCAGCTGCGCGGCGGCCGCTTGCTGCTCATAAATGAGTAGCCGTAAGCTGGAAGTTGATGGAGTGCTGGTGGTCCCTATGTCATCGCTGGGTTTCTTCACAGAAGGACCACTTGATGTTATTGGAGTTCGTCTGTATGAGGCTTTCTTCTGATTCGTGGCAGGGACCCTTGCTCGTAGTATCGTGAAACTGCTCGAAGGTGAACGTGGGGCACGTCCGGCTACAAACCCTGCACCTTGGTCAATCTTCGGCATCCTTTGTACTTCTTGCACCTTGGGTTTCCCGCTACCCTATCCTGTTTCAACAGGGAGCGCATACATTATAAATATATGCATAAATACAGTATGTATATATATATATATATATATATATATGTATATGTATTTTTCGTTTACTTATTTACCATGCTTAAAATCTTAAAGCCCCACCAAGGCATGACCAGCCACTCCTCCCCTTCGGCCACCTGTCCAGCGGCGACATCCTCGGGCCGGGTCCAGACCTCGGTTTTTGTTGCGTGTGGCTCCGACTTTAAAGCTGCTCGGGTTGGGTACGGCCCCCACTCAGTAATAGTTGAATAATATACATAATAGATATATTAGGACCTTAATAGTAGCCCTATTATAGACTCTTACTGTTATGGGGCAGTACCTAATCCTCGGGGTTCATGTAAGGGTTCCCGACAGAGCCGCTCCTTGGGTTCCTTTCATGGCTACTTTAAGGGTCACTGCAAGGGCTACTCGAAGGGTTGCTACACGGTTTCCTTTAAAGGCTCCTCTAGGGTTCCACAGGCTTTGTATGGGGTTTTGAGGGATGGTCAGTTGTAAAATCTCCATGTGGTCCATTATGTATCGACAGCGTGACATGCCCAGCTCCCTTCAACAGATTGCAAAAGTCTCCAGAGTACAATATACTCGCAAACCCTACATAAAAACTTGTCATAATTGGGCCCAGGGAGCATCCTGCCCGGCAGCTGGTTCTGGTCCGGTGCGGAAGTGCAAGCACTGCAGGCACCTGCATAGCTGCACTGCAGTTGTGTCAGGAAATACATCAAGATTCGATGCGAGCTAGCGGCAAGGGTAACTGTGCCGCGCTCTGCTCCCAGCCCATGGGTTGAGTTGTAATCACATGATGAGCCCTGCGCAGCTTTGCTGCCTGACCGTGCTTCACCGCGGCATCATCGCCCGTGCGTTGGAGGACCCTGACTACAATTAAGTAAATGCCCGCTTCAATAGCATATCGAAGAAAATAATATCTGTTGATTTTCTGGGTTGTGTTATCCCTGCATCATATTGCCTCTGAAGTTGTTCCGTAGGCACTCGTGACTGCAGGTCAATGAGTATGTTCCTGTTTGTGCATGTATTAACTGTTTGAGGGTCTTGGTTGCAGTCGTCATGTTTCGATGGACTGTCCCCATGACTTCTCGCGGGGTTCCGGGGGTCGTGATGAATTAGCATTGCGAGTTTACTATGATGCTATATACGTCCAGAGTCTTACCCAGGATTCTGGTCGCATTCAGAGCCCTCGTATGGTAGTATTCTTACCGCTGTCGATGTCGTTGTTCTTGAGTTTGCTGTTAAAGTTTCCGTGGTTCTGTGCGTGTGCGTGCGATCGTTGGTGCTGTCGCTGTGGATGGTGATGATGGTCATTACAACGGTGTGTTCCGTTAGGAGCAGGCACATTTGCATCCATCATGAACATCATCACCACGATCATTATCAGCAGCCATGGTCTTAATCATCATCATGGCTTGACCATAGTCCTCCTCCTCCATCATCATCAGCAGCATCAGCATCAACACCATCATCAGTGTCATCAGCATTATTAGCATCATCATGACCATCATCCTCAACATCTCTATCAGTGTCAGCATCCAGGAGTATCCACGCGAGCGCGAGAAGGCTTGGTTCCTGAGGACTTCGGCTTAAGGTTGCAACGCGGACGCTTCACTGCGTAACCTCCTTCAGAACTCTTATGACAACTAGGCACGCCATTAACCTGGCAAGCAGCATCAGAGCCAAGGCATGAGGCGCTCCACCAGGTCAGTTGACAGGTCCCGGGCCGGTTATCGAACGTAGTGCTTGGCTACCCAGGGACCCAGAAGTCATGACCATGGGTCGGAGGCTGCGGATGAAGGCATACATGGTCACGCGCTCCGCGGCCCCCTCCCCCCCCCAGAGGTCAATGGTCCGGATTTAGGTTGGGGCCCCCCCCTCCCCTATGGTGTGGTGTGTGGGGTTCCTCTTCCCCCCGTGGGGTGGTTGTGGGGTTTTGGAGTTTAGGGTTTAGTGGTGTCTGTCCGTCCGTCGGTCTATCTGTATTTTTTGCTCGTAGGTATGTGCATACATATTGCATACGTATTATGCATGTGTGCATACATGTATCTTTGTTTATTTTGATGTGTCCGTTATGTGACCATCTGCGCCTGTCTGGAACGTGCGCACAGTTGCTTTGCCAATGCAAAGCTTATAGCCCTGCTAGGATTTGGCTGTTGTCAGTACAGTGTGAATGATGCTGTTCTTTCTCTTGCTCCTGCTTGTCCATCCCACTGTTTTACCAGTTGGCCGGCCGCACTTGTAGTGGAACACTTTTTCCCCAAACCAGGATGTAAGAATTACAGTACTGATAACTCGCGACTGCATTCCCACACGTGTTGTTGGGATTTGTTGGGTGTGTGATAGGCCTGTATGTCCGCCTAGTTTGCGCAAGCCTTGCCTCCGTCATTGCACAGAGTTCAGTTCTCTTGGTGCATCTCGTACTTGCTGCAACATGGGAGATGGTGTGGATAACAGGGGCAGGAGTCGAAAGGCGAGTCCCCAAAGCCTGCACCGTCGAAACCATGGAACCCCAAAGCCAGACCTGTCGAAGCGCTGTAACAACCCGGAACGAAAGAAAGAGCCCTCCGCAGACGCCTAGTGGCCTAGTGGCCAAGTGCGAACTCCAAGATCGAGCTTCCGAAAATAGGGGACCCTGATATAGTACCCTGAATAGTAGGATCCTTATTATAAGGACCCCAAAATAAGGTACCCCTAATTTTCGGAAACTCCCAGATCGAGCTTCCAAGCCGGAAAGGTGGTTCCTCTGCTGGTCCTGGAACATCAGCAGCAGAGCAACCCGCGCTCCACAGTCACACAGGTCATTGCACGGGGTCTGCCAGTCTTGCAAAAAGTTTCGGCCTCATACTGATGGAGAGGATGCCATCTGAGTCTGCCTGCACGATTAGAGCTGTTTTTTGGATCCCAGTTCATTGACCGGCATCTATCATCCGCATGACTAAAGAGCGCATGTGCGCAGGTTAAGAGCTACAGGCAAGAGCGCGCTCGAAGCTCGGATGCGGGCCGCGCTGTTTTTGTTTTGGAGACACGGGTAACCAACACACCGTGCTTTCTTTGCGTTGGAGCATTTACTTGCACTGGACTTGATGCCTGCCCAGACTTGTCGAAGCTTTGGCTCCTTTCGGACATCTGATGCGCACAATGATACTGCGAAAGTGACACTCTGTAACACACAACCACAATTCGGGCCGTATTTAGTTGCAAATTCTATAGCCTGCGTTCCGTTCTGCTGTTGAGGGTACCCCAAGTCCAAGGCCACAGGCCAATTGCTACACAGGCCCCTCGACCTCCACCCCAAGCTACTGGACCCTACACTGGAAACCCGACAGCCTTAAACCTTAAACCCCCAAACCAAGCCCCAACCTACCACCCCCCCAAACCCTGAAGCTCCGGACACTTCCTGAACTGGAACTGACATGGCCCAGGTCGCAAAAATCTTGCGGGAGCGGTCCATTTTTTCGAACACCTCACAGGATTACCGCGCAGTCACAGTGGTCAGGGCTGTTGTGCGGTATTGCCGATAGTGGCATAGGTCCAGCTAGTACTACTAGCAACGGTAGTTAGCATGAGCCATGGTAGCCGGACTAGTGAGTGGAGTTGAAAAAGTGTGCGAATGATGGCAATGATTAAAATAGTGGCAGCGGCCGAAAGCAACACAGCAGTAAACTGTGCAATCGCAGCTGGGCATGGAGATGTTGTCTGTGTGAAACCTTTGCCTATGACTGGTCTTGTCGCATGTTGGCCCAAGCACTGAATCTGGTACTCAAAGATTCCTTTGAATATGCTACTCTTGATACTTGACATAGTACTCACAGCACCGCCTTCATTGATTGAGTCTTTTTCGGCCGTTTCGAAAGTGATGCGCCCAGAGCTTGTTAAGTGTTAGTTTCCTCCACTCCAAGCAAAGAGTCATATTCAGGATCTGGCAGTCCCGGCATTTAATTTTTCCTTCGGTCTGCGATATATAGAAGCTGCAGACTGTGTTGTCATTGTACTCTGCTCTCGCCATATTTCTGCTCGATCTATTTCTGTGAGGAGTTCTTGGCGGAGATCCTCAATTTTGGGACGGTCCGGGTGTCTTGGATGTGACGGTCGACCTTTGGAAGAAGCAGCGGGAGATGGGGGAAGCTACACAGAATAATCGTAAGAACAACGATAAGAAAGTATGAGTAATGATAGCGAGAATGGCCGAAGTAGCGATAGTAGTACTGGTAGGGCAAGAGAATTGATAGCACAAGCAGGCAAAGTAGAAAGCAATAGCAACACTAGCTTCAATAGTAATGTCGGCAATACAAGTACTGTGTTTCGCAACAATAGTGGTCCTAGTAAGTATCAGGTAGTAAAACGGGAGTGTGAGAGGCACAGCGGAAGCAGAGAAATGACGATCATGGTCAACATCTCAACATCACTAGAACATGGTAGCACTCACAGTGAAGTACTCGTCTCACGGTTTTTAGGCATAATCAACATCGTTGTCGTCATCATCATCAGCAGCATCGCCAACATCATCAACACCATCATTAGCAGTATGATATCTAATCTCACGCAGACACCGCACCAAGGAATCACAAGCCGTTGGAAAAAAACTCCGCGGGCAATTTCGGAGTACATCATCTTGATAAGTTGGATCGTTGTAGGAATGGTATTGTTAATCCGGAAGGCTGCTTTGTTCCTGAAGAATGGAAGTGGCTTGAACGGTAGGGTCGGGCGGTCGGAGGAGGAGGAGAAGGAGGAGGAGGAGGAGGAAGACGAGGAGACTTCTTGTGAGTCCAGCAAAAGCCAGCTTCAGGTGTGTCTAGTTGCTTCTGCTGCACCTTACCCCACTGTGGTTGGGATAATGCTGGCCTGCGACAAAATCGTGCATCTGGATTTCGCCGGAATCTGCCGAAGAAGTGCCATCTTCCTACGGTTCAAGCGCATCCCCCTACCGTTGTGCCAATCAAGAGGCAGCAACAGAACTCACCCTTCACAAGCAAAGGTATTTATGCCCGGAGACCGCATCATCCAACAGGCCCGACGGGGCCATCTTGACTTTGGAAGGGCTTCGTCGTTCTCAGCCTAGCCTTAGCCCGGTCTTCGAGCCTTTTGGCAAAAGCGGTGAGAGTTTTGCCGGATATTCCGCAACCTCACGAAAACTGATCAAGAAAGTCGTGAACATCGAGATAGAAGCCAGCTCGCAGTATTCGAAAGACGGTGCAGATCCTACATACAGACTCGATATCTTGGTCTGCAGAGTAAAAGCGATCAAGTTTTCCTGTCTAGCCTGCGGTTCTGCTGTTCCGATGCACGTTTTATTGAATGCTTGGCACATTACCGGTCCTAAAAGCCTGCAAGCATCCAAACATCTGCGAGGGTGCCGAGGGCAACTCCATGTTCATACTTTCAGTTGGCATGGCAGAAGCCCGGGCCCGAGTGGGAGGCTTTCGGCATAGATGGCATAAAACTTGCAAGGCTTTGTCTAAACGAGTTGGGACCTGGGAGCTGTCTCTATTACGCTTCACCACTTTCTATAACCGCAAAGACGAAAATTTTGCATCAATCGAGGAAGTTTGTACACATCGAAGGAACGAGAGCCCCTGAAGTGCCCAAGATTGATGTCTCAAGGTACTGCAGGGGCCTGAATAAACACGTGTACAGGTCGCTACTGTTCCTTGATATATTCACACGGAAAGATACCCTGGAGATCTTCGCACAAAGCTCAGCTGAACGATCCTGAGATGCACAAGTCATTTGTTGCTTTGCTCGCCAAAGACTTCCAGAACCCTTCTCTGGTGAGTCATGCCATTCTACTACCAATACTAGCCCTTAGGGCCCTTGATATAATTACACTATATTACACTAATGTACCCACCCCAAAACGCAATTCTACTTTCGAAGGCCGAAGATGTGCTGTAACACGGTTCGGCCTTGGAAAGGCTGCTTCTCATACCCAGGGTACAGTCAGCACGAAGTCCTGCTAACCCTCCGTTGAGGTGGTGAAAGAGAGCTTGGAGGAGTATGCTGGCATCTTGCTGAGGAATCGGTGTGGGGACGTTTTCATCTTTGAGGTTTGTGGTCTGGAGTTCACCCTGCGCCCTGGGAGCTCTAAGATGAAGCTAAGATCCACACCGGCCGTGCAGGAATCTCCACTTCATCGGGGGTCTCACCTATGGAAGTGTTTTCGGTGAGCTGGTCATGCTGGGCGTGCAGGCGCACCTGCAGACCGCGCAGTCGAGGCGTTCTTCTATTTAGGAACATGCTATTTTGCTCTCTCTGTGTGTATATAGATGTATGTCACCCTAAACTCGAAACCTGAAACCCCAAACCTAAACCCTTAGCGCAAAACCCAAAGTATGGAGCAAATGATGTTGGTCCCGAGTCCGCAGGTCTCCAGGTCAGGGGGATGATTGTGTTCGCATACTAGGATTCAGAAAGGGTTTCGGTGAGGTCAGGTTATTCGGACCGCAGCCGCAGCGTTCACGGAGAGGCTCCATTCATAAACCCGAAACACCGGGCTCGTGGTAAAACCAACTATGATCGCACCCAAAGCATAATTTCCCATTTTACCTGGTGCTTTTTCTTGTGCTTCTGTTTCTGCTCTCTATTACAGGAGCAGGGCAGCTCCCAATCTATATTCTTATGTATGTATATGTACATGTATATGTATATGTCACATGTCTATCTATATGCATATATATATATATATATACACACATGTATATATGCAAAATGTACTTATGGTAATTCTTCCGCACAGTATGGCTGACCAGGGCAGGCGGCTTGAAGCATAGTGGATCCTGTCATGGCCAGTCACGGCCAGTCATGAGATCCGAAACCCCACAACTACCGAGCACAGAATCCCGAGACTTCGAGCCGAACTTAAGCCCCTGCATGTATGTGTAGAACACTGTTAAAGCACGAATAACAATTACAGTAATGGCAATTACAGTAGCAGCACTAATAAGTTTTACTTCCCTTCAGGAATTGAGAGCACCTTGGAGTCCTTCATTTTTTCTTTGTTTTCGGCAACTCTAAACTCTAAACCCAACCTTACTTCTTTCTCTGGCCTCGTCTTGAGCCATCCTGGCAGCCTGCCAGTCGAAGCGCACCGCCTCCATCATTGCCAGCTCCACATGCTGCACTTGGGAGGTGGCCTCCGTCGGCTGAGCGATCCACTTTTTTGGAGCTCTGAGCGACATGGGTGGGGCTCTCTAGGCTGCAGAGATATCGTTGAGATATCCGATCGGTTTGAACGAGCGTCCACGTTTCGGGTTCCGTTCAGATGTAAGTTTCCGTATTGAACAGGTGGAATGTAACATGCATGTTTCCGCAGCTTGTTCTGTTTGCTGGATGTCCACCATATGCGCACAGCTCATGAAGGTTCACTTGCAGAAAGAACGGCACAAGCTAGCATCCCGCCTAGTACGATTCAGTTCCGACCTCACAATTTCAGCTCCATGCAGTATCTTCTCCGGTGAAAGGTTTGCCTATAGGTTGTGAAATGTTCTTCACGCAAACTCTCGCCTGCTAGCTGTAAAACACACACCGTAGATACGCCCTGCAAAGAGGATCAGGTGCTTGAAGGTCCTATACCTTGACAGCACGAAGAAGGAGGGAAGGCGAACACAAGCATGCAGTAACAGCAAGTGCTGAGCATGGCGACATGGCTGCACAGGCCTGGAACTCAGGGCGCCGTGCTGTGCCCCAAAGTGACCAGAAATAGAGAGAAGCAAAAGCTGGCCACATCGGCTTTGCTACAGTCCTCTCGGGGTGTGTACACGAGTTTCTTTCCTAACGGCGCAGTTCGCCGCTCCGACCTAAGGCCAGGGAAGGCGTATGCGGAGAGCAACGCCGAAGGCGCGTGCTTGCACTCCAAAGTGCCACGGCGCGGCTCTGCGATGCCACATGAGGAAACTGGACGCCAGGGGGTTGTGGGCTGTGCTCTTGGCACAGAGCGGTCTGGGGAGGCTCCTCTTGGGCAACTTTCTGGGGAGACGATGCCAAGGCGCCGGCAGCGCCCCATGGGATTTGAGCTTTCTGCGCATTCAACTGTATGACAAGGGGTTCTTTTGGCATGTGCCGTTCAGGGCCCGTGCACTGGCCGCTCGTCTCAGGGTCTACAATATCTATAGCTGACATACTATAACATACCATAATAAACGGTACTATTCTATATGATATGCTATAGTATACTACAGTATACCAGACTATACTCCAGTATACTGCCATATCCCGTAATCTTCTATAACTTACTACCATCTACTATACTGACATACTATCCTAGCTGAGACTGCCGCAACGTTGACCGCAGGCGGCTGTGGGTCTTCCAACTGGTGCAGGCGCTCCGATGCAGGCCATGGCCAACCGTCATTGCTGTTTTTATTGTTACTACGGTTGATGATATAAATCCTGCATTACCTTCAGGACCCTAAACTATGAGAATGATGGTATATTCCTTATTTTGGGTCATGCAGGATTTGTAGCATCAACCGTGTTATACTATTAAATTGTAATGTTAAATTATACTACTACTATTTGACGATTGCTATTTCTGTTGCTATTGCGAAAAGTAGAATCAATATATTATAGGAACCGTAGAGTTCTTTAAATAAAAGGAGCCTTTTCGTATCATTTACAGTAAAGGAACCCGTTCCGTAACCGGTCAGAATCACTACACAGCGGTACTAGGTTCAGAGTTTGGGGTTTAGGGTTTACAATTGCCACTGTTTGTCAAGTAGTAAAGACATTGCTATTGCAACTGTGTAGCTGAGCAGGGAACCTTTTTGGGTTTATTTGCGAAAGCCTTAATTGAAAACGTTAGCTTTTTTGGGGACCAGCATACCCGGCCCCGCAGACTATCGCTTCTCAGCAGTGTTGTTAGTATTACGACTAGTATTGGTATTCGTGTGACTTTCAGTGCTACGACCATTATTACTGGTAGTATTGGTAGTAGCGGGATTTATAGTATTCGTATTACTGTTGCGTTGACCGGAATAGAGTCATTTGGTGGCTGTTGCGCCTTATTTATGCTCATGAAGACCTGCAAACTCTGAAACGGCCCTTGCAAGGCGTCTTCTGCAGTCATGACAAGCAGACTCCGAAACTCCCGAGTCCGGAGAAGTGCGAGAAGAATAGCACGAGAAACTACGGCTGATGACAGAAATCCTGGATGGAAACCATAATTCTCATAGTCTAGAATCCTGAAAGTAATGCAGGATTTATATCATCAACAGTAGTGTCTGCTGTGGGAGCCCGATGGACCAAGAAGCATGCCTGATTCTGCCGGACAATACCTCAGATTTTCTCATGCATACCTAAGGCCATTCTTAGACCCAGCATGAATCCTGCACCACCACCCTCCTCCTGAACGCTGAACCTTCAACTTCAAACCCTACAGCAGAACCCTCCCATGAGACCATTGGAATCTTCGTGACTCACCTTCGCTGCAGGTCGTCATGGCACGCACCGAGGGTCAGGTCGGGGCCCCTGAAGTGCCACGGAAGCTTTACAATGTAATGCATTGTCTATAGAAAATATAGTCAATAGTATATATTACATGTAGGAATATTTTGGGTTCAGGGACATGGATTTGGGGGCTTATAAGGGCTGTAAGGGCAGCCGGTGAAAGTCGAGAGCAGAGAATGGGTAGGGGTTATAAGTAGGATAGCTAGAGTTACAACCCATACTTACACCACAAACCCTAAACCCTAAACAAAAAAAAACCTTAAACCAACCCCTAAATCCCTAAACCCCTAGACCTTAAACCAACCCCTAAATCCCTAAACCCCTAAACCCCAAACCCCTAACAACTACCCAAAGTCTGTGACTCCCAATCGGTCTGTTGAGGTCTTCCGGGAGCGCGTCGGCTTCGTTGTGCTTTGCATCATCGGCGCCTACTGCTCTATGAGGCCGCGACACAAACGGAATTTGTTCGGGTGTCCCGACCATCCGCATCACATGGGCCTGTTTTAATCCTACATAATATGAAACATTATACCCTACTCCGTCAACAAAAATAGTACCCCTTTATAAGATGTTCCTCGCTTTTCCTGTCAGAGGATTCTCGTGGAGCTGCGCTACATCCTGGAGCCCTTCCTTTGGGCTTTGTTCCTTGTCATGGCCCGGTACCCATGCCGTGTCGTGTGGGGTTTAGGGTATACGCATAAGGTATTATTTCGGTAATCAGGGTTACCCAGACCCCCGGGAGGATCTAGAAAGTAGATCCCCTATATAATTTGGGGCCCTGTACTACAAAGGGTACTTTATAGGAACCCCCCATTAAGGGATCTGCTTTTTGGATCCTCCCGGGGGTCCGGGGTAATCAGGGTTACGGGTGTAGGGTATTGGGGGTTTGGCTTTGGGGTTCACAAGAGTCTGCGAGGCTCGTTAGCCAGGGACCTCGATTTCAGAATCCCACAAGCTCGGTCCTTGTCTTTACAAAGTACAGGGCTTCGCTTCGCTGACAGCAAGGACTTTATGCTTGAGGCTTCGCCATTCTTGCTTGGTACGGTGTGCTGTTTTGCTCGTATCACTTTCTTATGAGTGCCATGCTGATTGAACGGATGACGAGTGTTTTTGTTCAACCCCGTCGCCCGTGGTGAAACATCCTAAGATTCGCAATGTCGCTGGGTACGGATGCGGCAGTTGTTGTTTAGACCCCCAAAACCCTAAACTCCGAAACCCCAGGCCCTCGATGAACCCGAACCTCAAAAGCCCCCACAACAGTGGTGAGGCTTGGAAGCCTGTCGTGGACGGCATCGAGTTACGTCTGGAGCTGATGCCGGGGCCTCAGCTCTTGTCACAGGCGACGAAGAAGGACATGGGCTTTATGGTTCATGTATCGAGGGTTCGTGTACTGTGTACAGCCTTCTTCTGGTTTGGTAGGCCACACCTCGTTCCCAATATGTGGCAGTACGTGAGACATGGTCGTAGTGGCAACCTGTTTTCAGTACTGCTCTGCCCCTCCATGCCCCTCGTATAGTATAGATAGTATACTATATCATGACTGATCGTACTACATTATATTGCATTATAATCTTGTTTTCTATCCTATCATATTTTAAGTCAAACGAAATATGTCACATTATCTTTATCTCATATTTGATATATACAATTCCAGTTTATCTGTATTGTTGTATCATACCTCGTAGATTCTATTCTGTATGCTTATAGTCTTATAGTATAGTCTGTTACATCATGTTGCAGCCAAGGCTGGCCGTGGCATTTCCGGGCCTGGGGAAGTCCGACCTGCCAGAGCCCCCAACTCTCAGCTCCTAGGGCTCCTATCCCAGAAATCCGGGAGGATCCAAAACGTAGATCCCTTAATGGGGGTTCCTATAAAGTACCCCTAGTAGTATGGGGCCCCGAATTAGGGGATCTACTTTCTAGATTTTTCCGGTGGTCTTGGTAGTTGGGAATGGGGAAATGGATCCCGATGTTAGCCTCCTAAGGGCCCTTATTGAAGTGTAACCCCCAGTAGACCCTCGTAGTATTCCCTTAAGGCCCCTTATACTGTAGTCCCTCATAGTAGTCCCTTGAGGTCCCTTGTAGTAGTCCCTTGAGGTCCCTTACTGTAGTTCCTGTAGTAGTCCCTCAAGGCCCCTTTATACGTTAAGGTCCCTCACGAGCAGCGGTATAGGGTTTGGGATTTATGTTTTGGGGTTTTGGATTGTGGGGTTAGGGTTACGTTTCAAGTTTAGGGGGTCTATGTGTGAGAGAGGGTTGTAGTTACATGTCTCGTACACTGTCACAGAACTCGCGCCCATGTTGCTCTTCTGCACGCCCTGTGTAGTTAAACAAAAGCCGTTTAAGAAGTACCTATGAATGAACGAATGAATGAATGACATGACATGAATGGATGAACTATCTTATGAATGCATGCATGCATGCTCGTGTTACTCTGTGGCACTTGACAGGCTCGCTCTGCCTCGCAATGTTGCTGCTGCCCCGTCCGGTTGCTTTAGGAGCCTGAATTACAAATATTATTCCTTAGGGTGTTTTATTTTAAGTATACTATAATAGAACCCCAAAGCCCATTCTACTTATGAACGCTCCACATCACCTGCAACCTGAGGCCCAAGTCCGTTCGGTTGCCGTGCACCAAAGGGCACGACTCGGAGGACGAGTTGGATGGCATCGATGGACAGCGCCTGAGCTTTCTCCGCAGCCTACCCCCACATACATAGACTAGGTGCATATACACACATATATGTATACATATACACATATATAGATACATAGATAGAGTATATTCTTATTTTTACATACCATTTTGTGTTATATTGTGTTTTTTAATATCATGTTATAACTTCTCTTGAGCAAAGTCCCGCGCAGTCTGGCACTGCTTGTGCCACGCAGGTGGCATGGCCAAAGACCACTGTAGGCATCTCTTCACCACTGCAGTGTTTTTCGTATCCCCGAAGCTCGACCTGCACCCCACCTTCGAGGATTTTGAAGCCATGTACGTCCATCCAAGCCTTGTGGACTCCTGAGTGGTTCATGTACCGTAGTGCACAGGTCCAAGTGTCGACTCATGTGGGCAGCTACTGTAGTGCAGAACCCAGAAAGTATCCTTAGATAGGCACCCCCCACAGGGAAGTCTTTTGAGGACTAGTCTCGGCTCCAGGTGAACTCGATTCGATGATCGAGCGCGGCAGCGAGCGGAGCGAGAGCTCGCCGATGTTGCCGGAGGTCTGCTGGAATCGAAGTTTCCGTTCTGTTTTGAATTTAAAACACTGTTTTAAATTGAGTTTAAGCAAATTCAAAACGGAGCTGTGTGTTTTCTGCCTGTGGGATAATGCAGTCTCTGCAGGATGCTGGGCTTCTGGAACCTATGGGATGCATTCTGCTTATCCCCAACCTGTGCACAAGAAGCGCAGTCTTTCGGTTGGCCAGCACTTTGAAGCACTGCCGCTACGTTTGTTTTCTGTCTCTGTCATCCTTATTTTTTCTCGTAGCGGCGGAATCAGCACTAGATACCAGCATGGATACTGTAATCTGTTGTATCCATCAGCAGCTACATGCTGCTTTGGCACTGTGCAGCTGCCCAAACCCCACCAAGCACCAAAAGCTCAGTCCAACTTATCAGAAGAAGGTCCTGCCAGACGACGCTCGAGACAAGCGCGGCAGTCGTGAGAGTTCCCTTGGTGGCAACACTCAGTCAGTTGTCATGTATTTTTGCAGTTTCGCAAGACCGTGATGTCTGGGAACCATGTCATGCACGTGCCGCCGGCAGCGAGTCGGCCGGACAGACGGATGCCTCAGAGCTTCCTCGAGAGCCCTGAGGCTGCCAGGATGTGGATGAGGAAGACTGGGAGGTTTCAACTACAGATGGAGGTGCCATGCCCGCAAGAACTTAAGGTGGCCGTCCGACTGAGCCAGCATCGATGTGAGTGCGAGTCGCTGTTGGCTTTAAGCTGTATCGTTGAGGGGTCGTCGAAGGATGGCAGCCCACAGCAAGAATCATCGAATACCCCCTCACCCCAGCCAGCAACTGAAACTTCGAAAGCCCCAAGCCCTAAACAGCCTCAGGGCCTTTCGTAAGCGGGAGTGCAGACGGAGAACGGGCGTTGCAAGCTTCTGATTCTTCAAGCCGAACACGAGCTTTGACCTCCTCCAGTCTAAGCCCTCCGCATCCACGTCCTCAGGCCGTCCGTCTTTCCGCCGGGCCCTAGCCCGCAGCTTGGCCGTACTGCCCGGGACCCTGGGACGGGGCATCTCAGATGATAGACAGCGAGGCTACCGAGAGACTCAGTCGGACTAAACGTTTGTGATACTATGTAGAATATATAACAGGCGGAAAATGTCGACGCATCAGCTTGAAATGAATAGAATAAAGTATCCAACATGTGTGTGTGTGTGTGTAGACTGTGCATACATTCATCAGTTCGTCATGGTTCAAAGTATGCACACAGAGTGGTCCTGTGCCGCTTAATTAGCTTGGTTCAACAATTCTTCGTTGTGTTGTAAATTTCGCATGCCAGAGGGCCATCCCAGATCCTTCCAAGTCCGGCAGAGCAGGGGCCTCCAAGAAGGCATCATCATCCTACAAGACACTGCTTTGGCAGAAGAACTATTCGCCCAGATCGCCCCCTTTGTGTGCGTATATATCTATATATCTATATATATATATATATATATATATATATATATATATCTATATATCTATATATATATATATATCTATATATATATATATTTATTTATTTATATATATATATATATATATATATATATATATATATCATACATACATGTGTACATGTACATGTACATACATACTTACATACATACATACATACATATGCACCTACTATGTATACATATGTACACACATATCAAGTGTAGGTCCATGGTGCTGCACGACATGTCGAGTGCTGAGATCTCCCTGATCTAGAAAACAACTTTCATGTCCGCCTCCCCAGTTCTTGCAAGCTTCCCAAGAAGCCGTGTGGATGAGTGTTTGAGACGATCTCCTCAAGCTATCTGCTGTTGCTTGCAGCAACTTGACGGAACCAAAGCAGTTCCTTGCGAGGAGTGGTAACTCTCGTAGCACGGACGGTGCTTAATGTAGAAGCCTTGTGACTACCAATATCATGCTTAGGGTTCCTCATTATCGCTCTACGGGAGCGCGAAACCCTAGTCCAATTATTCAGGCCCCTACATTAAGCAAACACCACTTCCACTGCGCTCTGGCGAGGGCCACCTGCCTGTAGTAGCTCGTGATGTATTCAGATGTATTCAGCTCAATGATGTCGTGCCCTGTTAGCAATACACAGGCCGAAGTACATGCACCGTAAACTGTCAGACTGTGGTGCCTAGGTTTCCTTTATACTTTATATCGATCGCCACAAAATCTATGATTAACGCTAGCCCTCGTGTCTGCATTCGGATCCACTTGCAGCTTATGGTCGTTTGCCCCGCTGCGAAGTGATGCTCCACCATGCCAGGCTGCGAGGGCAGCAACTTTACACACAGTTGATTTCGTCTAGGAGACGAGGCTGAAATCATATATATATATATATATATACATCATATGATATAGTATTGTATTTATAAAATTTTGTTATATGTTAGATATCATATGTTATATGCTATGTATTATATATGTACATATATATATATATATATATGTATGTATATCATATATGTATATCATATACGTGTGTATATATATATATATATATATATATATATATACGACAGCGCTGATGACACGTCGGGTTTCTTGGAGGCCCGCTCGCTGCACCCACGCCCGAGCGGCTGCCGGAGACGCGGCGCTTGGGGCAAGGCCTTTACCTCGCTCCGCTGAAGGCGCGGACGGGGTGTTTAGGGGTTTAGGGTTTAGGGTGGGAGGTGGATGGAGTGCTGCCTAATTATAGGCCTTAGGTGCTCGGGACGCGTACGACAGAGAGAGGACTCGACACGACGTGATTTCCTCCTGACATGTTCTTTACGAACAAAGGCGTATTGATTATGGTGGCCATCCCATACGAGCCAATGGAATACCAAGTTCAACATTGGGCACAGTGCTAGGCAGACGAGCCACATGAGCAACACCAGTGCCGAATGAGTGCTATTCCGCAGGATTCCCGAATCAAACTATACCACAACATGCGACTACAAGCGCCTACTTCAAGAACCAATGCTCCCATACCAGACCTTGTAACACCCCTTCAGAACACTTGGAGGAGCTTCCAGGATGCGCCTTCTTTCCTCGGCATCACTATGCCACCGTCGCCCTCTCCTCCGGTGATGCCTTCTTCCTCTTGGGGGGCAGCATCTTTGCTTTGTTTTTTGGGAGGTTTGTGGCATGAAAGCCAAGCGAAGATTCCGACGAGGATCGCAGTGAATGCAGATTGCTGCGCTGGTGTATTGATGGGTCGCGACGTTCATGCGGAGAAGTGCATGCATGGCTGCATGACTCTACGCATCTATCTCTCGGTCTGTCTCTGTGTCCGCCTGTCTTTGTGCATGGATGGGTGGATGGATGGATGGATGGGTGGAAGGAAAGTATTGACAACATATTGTACTGTCCTGTGTTTGCATGCATGCATGATGTGAATGCACGGGTAAGTTGTAGGTCAGCAGACAGGTATTGCTGCGTCCAGAATCATATGACACGCACACGGAGTTTTGCCATCGTTTACACTTCTCGTGTTCGCGCACAACATAGCAGCCAGCTGGCCCCTCAGCCCTCAGGCCAAGCACTTGACGGAGCTCAGCGCGCTTCTAGGGATTCGCCAAGTGTCAGTGGACTATCATGGTAGACTGGTGTTCTGGACTCCACCAGCTGCTATGCAGGAAACGTAGGCTCTGACACGGCATATGGCCTATTCGGGATTCTGTATCCACGGTGTGACGACCCAAAGGGGACCCTGGCACGGATAAGTGTTGCGACGTCCCCGGTGGAAGTGTGGATGCAACACATCGACTTCGCAGACGGACTTTTCGGGTGCCTGCGCATGCAGGGAGCGTGGCAACCCCACTCCCCACACCTGTGGCACGCAAGGAAGGGAGGAAGCGGTCCCACCTGCAGCGTTACAATAAGAGAAGAAGCGAGAGACAGAGAGAGGGCTAGGGCACTCCAGTGCGCATTTGTGTTGTGTGAGGCAATGGCCGCATCCATCTCAACGACATTTGGTTCGCACGGCTTTGCAACATCGGCAGCTTTTCAGCAAGTGCCGAGAGTCTGCCACTTTTGCGGACTCTCGTTGAGGGTCAGACTCGGTGAAAGCAAGAAGGCAGAGGACACTCATACATGCTGATGGCACCACACCCTAGCACAAGACCTCCAGTGTACATGGATGCAGTGGTTTGCCTGGCTCGTCGACGCCAGCAGCTTGAAAGCGCTGGAACCTTAAAACCAATATCCGCCCTCAGCCCAAAGGTGGACAACCTGACTGGGCCTGGTCGGAAGTTTCAGAGCATCAAGACGGCCGCCGCGACCCGCTGGCCCCTGTTGCAGCATGTGGTGGGCAGTTGAGGGTTTCGTATATTCGGGTCGTTCGGGTTCAGGCTTGAGGTCTGAAGGGCTGGGTGGCTGGAGGTTTGGATTGTTCGGCATTCGGCGGTCGCCGTGTGCGCCAAGATGAACACGAGCCTGTTAAGATCTTTTTTGGTTGCGCTGTTGAAGTATGCTCACAGGCAAGTCGTGGACTTTCAGTAAACGTGAGACCCTACTACGGACCCGAATGCTATGGGACCGTGACTTTAAAGATCGCTAGGCAGGAATCCTTTTACGTAAGCTTTGTGTATGTTTCCACAACGATTTCGGTCCCTCCATCGAGGTCGGCTTTTGGCTTTGCAATTACATGCAAATTATAATCTATCACATGAGAGAATTCACGACAAATGAACCATAATGTACTATGCTATACGCTGACATAATCTTCGAATTATCGGAGATTTGTGCCAACTCTGCTCCAGTTCTGCTAGCCCGTAAGCCCTGAACCAGTGTTGAAGGATCATGGTTGTTTGCTTTTGCATCCGTGCGGTCCATGTGCTCCACCCAGCTCTCCTGTCCAGCATATTGTTGAAGCTTGAACTAAGCGTGTTGCTGAGGGTCGCTTAAACCAGCAACAACCGCTCTCGCACCATCTCCCCATCCCGAAATTCTGTGCGGTACGAAGTGCAGCGCAGTCGCTATTGTTGTCCAAGGATGGGCAGCTGATGCTCTCGAAGTTCCCCGGCCGGTCGCGTTTTGCAGCTGCAGGCGTCCTGAACCCGAAAGGTGGGACTGCCAGGGCGCTTTACGCCGCGAGTTCGCAAGCAGTGAGACCCGCAGCAGCACACGGACACCTTGCAAAGCCGTGAGAGACCAGGTGGGAGCATTTGTGAAAGACAGAGATCCACCCAGGTGACTGGCGGCCAGGGTGCTTTCTGCCCAGAGGACTGCGAAAAAGCGTTTCACCTCCCGCGGCTACTACATGTAGGCTATACTCATGCAGACTAGCTTTGGACATGTCTCAATGGAGGTTTGTCACCATTTGACCTGACACGTGGCTTGGGCCGCGCATTAAAGTGGATCTGATGTGGGGATGGGGATTGCTTATGAAATTTTGTAAACTACAAATTCCCCAGCAGTACCCTTTTGCACTTTTTTCTTCTTGGGTTCCCGTATCAAAACCATGTAGTAGGAAAGGGTACCCTTGTCATTAAGGGGCTACTCAGGAACCCGGATGCTTCTTTCGAGCCGTAGGGATGCTTCATGGAGGAGGAGTTGAACTGTCGGTACATGCGCGACCGGCGTGCTGTATGCGCATGCAAGCTACCGAATGTACCAGAACACTCTCGACGACCTTTGCCCTCCATTTGGTCTTAAACCAACCAGTCGTCTTCATCTGACCTAATTTATTCATGCTGTGTCACTACGAAGACAGCTCTCAGTCTAAGTCTTGTATGACTCTTGTATTGCCTGAACGCGCCGGAAGGATTTCTGGGCCTCTGAGGACGCTGGTCGTACCTGGCGACTCGCCTTGAGTCAAACCCTCCATGCAGACTTGGAATTGCTGGCTGTTGCCTCGACCTCCTGGATTGTTTGTGTCTTGCCCAAGTGATTGGAGAATCGGGGTAGCTGAGCTGCATTTGTTGTCTCGCCCATGCTTCTCATTCGGTATAAATGTTAATAAGGGTGACTGGAGCTCTAAACAAGTTCCCAAGCCAGAAATGACATCAGCTCCATGTCGGTTGAAAGCATCCCCACCGTTTCAGGAAATCTTTCATCATGCTTGCCATTTTTGCAGTGCGGAGGTATTGCATGTGCCGTCGGGTTCCATGGGGCGGGCGGCTGGAGCCAGGAACTGCCGTGTCACGCAGGGCATCGATTCTGAGTGTGTTACAGCAGGGCAGTGCGTTCGGGTCAAGCCTTGCTTGCATTTCTATCTTACTGGTAAGATGACGTAATCGCAATCTGGAAGCAGTAGGGCAAGGGCAGGATGTTCCTTGATGTTTATTGCATCCAATCCCGTGGCAACAATCTCAGGGAGCTGTCAGTGGTTATACGAAGCTGTGCTGCAAGCGTTGCCTTCCCACATCCATGCCCAGCTCTGTCAAGCACACGGCGCGAACTCCTTTTGAGAACGAAACCTTCGTAGCATATTTGATAGGTTTGAGTTCGGAGGTGAAATGCCTGTCAGGATATGAGTGCGCTGAACCTATGATCCCAGGTCGATGCTTGCCAAGCCTTTCCCATGCTTGTTGACTTCCTGCACAGACCTCTGAAGTGAGGACTGAGTGTGGTCCCGACAAAGTACGAGCAAGTGGTGGTACTGGGAGGCAGGGAGGCACCTGCCTGATGTCCTGGTACTCTGGGGTTCATGCAGCCACGCCAAGTCCAAGCCGCAACTCAGGAAGCCTTCCAGTCCGAGTCCAAGTATCGGCTCAAGCTGCGAACAATCTATTTGCTAGCATGGTGCCAGTCGTATTGCGACCGCCACCGGGCTTGGCGTGGCCGGAGGCATCGGGGGCTTCGGCTGGGAGCTTGGCACATCCACAGCTTTGCCGGAGACCTTGCGTTCACCTCGTGAAAGCCAGCTCTTGTGCCGCGGGCTTGGCTTGCAACTACTGCCACGAAGGGCATGACAAAGAACACAGAGCAACTCCGGACAAGAGCCAGAGGCAGCTGCTTCGGACCATGCGCGAGGAGGATGTTCGCACCCTCTTGCGCCCCCACATCCTATGCAGGCTTCAACAGCTAGAGCTCACGGAGCCAGCGGCTGATCTCTTGAAGCTCCTGGATCAGGATTAGAGACCGGGGTAACCGGAACCATTGTTGACATCTCCCGCATTGTGATTAGATTGACTAGAGATTTTAGCTTACAGTTGGATGTTCAAGCACGTTTTGGGGTCCCTGCAGGAGATCCACTCGGATGCGCAGGGGGCCTTCGGAGAAGTGGGGAATTTTCGCCTCCGACAGCTCAAGCGGGTTCTAGCGCGCATGCCTCTGCAGCCACTGGCACCTCAGAGGCAGCAAGGCAGCCACAAGCCGGATATAACACACGGGCAATGAAGTCATACTGCGACGATTGGTTTTGAAAGTTCATATTAATGACTACTGGAATTTATGCCTTCAGAGCCAAGGTCAAGCTCTTTCCATCTCAGTCTCCCTTGGGAGTCGAGGCGCAGCTGGATCTCTTGAGGCTTGAGATGTGCCGCATACAAGCACTCAAAAAGGGGGCTGTGCTGCAGCTCTAGGACCGAGCTTTGAGGACACCACAGTAGCAGCAGTAGTGGTGGTGGTAGGAGTAGGAGTAGTAGGAGGAGTAGTAGTAGTAGCAGTAGTAGTAGTAGTAGTAGTAGTAGTAGTAGTAGCGAAAAGTCATCATAGGCCAATGTCCTCTTCTTTCGGTGTTTCCAGCTTGGCGTCCGACTAGTGATCAGTCGACGTTGGGTTTCGACCAGCATGTAAGAAGCCTCCAACCGGACTGGACGGCCTCTGTCCAGCTCTGGCGCGGTAGCGGGAGTTATTTCGCTCGTTTCCTCGGCCTCTTGCATCTAAACTTATCTAGCTTCACTCAGCTTCCTGTGAACGAATATAGACGATGTAGAGGTCGCGAGACTGCTGTAGTCGCCGGTGTGTTTGGCAACATGTTGCCGCTCAGTTTACTTTTGCAGGTAGACTCTGCCGTGTCTCGGTCTGAAAGCAGGGCTTGCCAAGGCTTTCGTGGCTGTCAAATGACGATGGGAAGCCCTGGTAAAGATTCTCGGCGCGGCATGGAGTGGCACATCATTTCAGAGCTGTTCACAGAGGTTTGTGATCGACCTCTTTCAACAGTCCATACATCGAGTTAAGATGCAAATATCTCGGTCTCTCAGTTTCGCAGTTGCAATGGGGGACCGTGCTTGTGTTGAATCCGGACATCAGAGAGATGACTGTACGTCCGGCTGTTGGAGTCTTACCAACGCCAGAAGTCCCCCATAATGCAATGCGTGTCCCTTGTTCCAACTTGGCTCCTCATTCCAGTATACTCACTTGTTCGGACAGGTCGCTCAAATGCAGCCCAAGTTGGGTGCATACCCTCCTTTGTCCCGTCCTGTCCCTTGGGCCTTGCTTGGAAGATCAGGAAATGAGTCAGTAGGGTAGCTACGGTTGCAAGATGTTGCAAGTATCGCAGTGGTTTGCACCGTTTTGCACATCTGCAACCTTCTTCCGATCCTCCAAGCATCCGTGCTGTATGCAGGAGACACACCTGAGGGTGCTAGACATGCCTAGCTGGAGAGCCGTAAAAGAGATCGTACTTGCTGCTTTCGGCGGTTGCAGAACATCAACTGTACTTAATTAATCCTTTCTCTTTAGGAAGTGCTGTTTGTCAGTTGCCTCCAGCAGCGGCTTATGGCGCTCACTGGCCTCTCGACTTGTACAAAACCATTTAACGTTGCGTAGCCAGATTGGACTCAACCAGTTTTTTCTGAAAGAAACACGATGCTTGCACACCTTAGGCCTTCCGTCTCTATCCGCAGTGCATCGCAGCTTCTCACAGTGACTTCGATATTGGTGAACAGCGGCAGGCATCGTTCCTGGAGTAGGACTTCGTGTTGAACGAGATCTCTGGATTTCTGCAGACGCAGGCTCTACCTGGAACAGCGTTATCACACCCGACCCTCGGGTGCGAATACCATACATGCGAAAGTCTCATGTTTCCCGACTCAAAATCCGCTGGCTTGCTGCGGGGGGCAAGTGACGTCAGTGTGGACCCGGGCTTCCTTTGAAGGTACAAGGAAAAATCCTTACAGCCTTCCAAGTAAGGGCAAGCCCAATCCAGAACAACCTCCAATTTTTTGCTTTCAGCTGTCACAGATGAAAGGAGTGGGAGCCGCGAAGTGCACCGCAACCTGGAATGAAGTGCGACATCCCATAAAACTGCGTGACCAATGCAGGGTCTTTCGAGTAGATACGTGTACTACGCAATGCATACTGACACCACGCTTGCCGCTGCTGCCGCTGCTGCTGCTGCTGCTGGTGCTGCTACTGGTGCTGCTACTGGTGCTACTGTTACTCCTACTACTGCTGCTGCTACTACTACTTCTACTGCTCCTACTCCTGCTCCTGCTGCTCCTGCTCGTACTCCTACTCCAGATACTGCTACTGCTACTACTCTACTACTTCTGCTGCTACTACTGCTACTAGTACGAGTATCAGTACTAGTACTGGTACTAGTACGCACTAGTACTGCTTCTCCCACACTGATACTAGGCGAGTACGACTGCGACTACGACTACGATTTGTGCCATGACGGTGACGGCGACGACGACTGCGAGATTGATGACGAGCACCGCAAACCACCACTGCCACCTGCTAGTGCTGCTGCTAGCCCAACTAGCAGCAAGAGCTGTCTTCGTTTCACGCGGTAAGAAACATAAGACTAATGCCGTTCCCATCAAACAAGCCACGAGTAAACATTGAGTGCCAGTATAAACAATGCGATCAGCAACACTAGTAACACTCAAGAAGCCACTAAGCCCGTACGCACGACGACAAGGATAATGATGATACAGTTATATGCTAACACTGTAAGCCATGGCAGGAATAGCCAACCCTGAACCCTAAACCCTCAACCCTATTATTGTTCTTAATAATAATACTATTACTATTATTGTTGTTAGTATTTTTACTACGAAACCCACCTTTACGCAGCTCAAATCGAAGGTTGCTGGCCTTTCCGCCTCCCGGGAGGGCTGGTCGCTCGCTGCTGGTGTTGGGTGGGGCGCGCCTGGCCGAGGCAACCATGGCTGATGGACGTGTGCCGGTATTTATGGATGGCCTCTGTGCATATATATGTGTATATATATATAATATCAATATATACAAATATTTATACATGTATATATATATATATATATATATATGTTGTATTTGGGGCTCTGCTTCCCTTCTTCGCAGACGCCGCACGTCTATTGTGGGAAAATCGCCATGAAACGAGGCTAGTGCATAAGACAGGGCTGCGATGGCGCGAAGCATAATATGCTTTTATGTTGTGGCAAGGGAGACTTTCGCACGTTGCCCCTCGGCCTTGCAGATGGCATGCCCTAGTTTGGAAAAATCTCGCGCAAAGCGTCAAATATGTTGCACTGACTCGTGCATTTCTGTTGGTTTGTGTTTTGTGTTTGCGCATCTGAGCTCCTGCATGCCAGCAGAGATACTGAAGACGACATATGGATGCAGGCACTTGTTGCCGACAACTCGTGGCAGTCTTGGCCGCCAGGACGCCGCAGGGGATCGAGCTCATGCCGGTGGAAGCCGTTTCTTGGACGATGCCTGGGAGGCGGGGAGGGATTCAGGGTTAGATGCACTCAACTGCAGTCAGTATCCGGGCCATTTGCCTTGACAGGTTCGCTTAGACTTCATCGAGAGCATCTTCGGCCGTGAGGAAAGTAAGCAGGTTCTCATCGCGACCAACGCGTTTCCAGACTTCCGAAGCCTTCTCACACCTTGCCTTGCATGTTTCTCCATCTTGCTCTTAAGTATTGGCTAGTCTGACGAGATCGAAACTTAGACGGGCTTCGTTTCCTGGGAGCCGCGCCTGCAGCTCAGGCACATTGCAGGCACGCGAGCTCGCAACATCAGAAGCTCCAGAAGGTCGGGGAAGAAGCTCGGATTGTCAAGGTTTTTAGTCTCAGAATCGTCATTCATAAAGTGGTTTTGTCAATGCTTGATTGTTCTTGCGCTTACTACTTCATCTACAGTTATTGTGATGATCATCATCCTGATACTCTGAGCCCTTGCCTACAGTAGTTACTCTTGTCAGTGTGGTGTTGTTTGCGTTGTCACTGCGGTTGATATCGGCACATTCGCCAGTGTCAGTGCGGTTGCTCCACGCAGACAGTGACAGAATCCATAAATCCTGGGCCGTCTGAGGCGATGAAAATGGCTTTGACAGCCACATGGCCGCGTTTGATGCATCGGCATCGCTGTCAACTGCAGCGGGTGCTTCGCCTGCGCTTGGCTCTAAATGGATGGAGTTGGTAGTTGTACTAATTGTTCCCGTCGTTGTCGTTGTCGTCGTTGGGTGGTTGTGGTTGTTGTTGCTGTTGCCGTTGCCGTTGCCGCTGCTGTTGCTGCTGCTGTTGTGGCTGTTGTTACATTGTGCTGTAGCCTGGTATAGTTTTGATGACTATATCTATTAGGATTTCGATCAATCGTTCTTAGTTTGTGGACCCAGCAGGATGGTTGCGAGCGGTTACACGCACAATAGGTGTAAGTACACTTAGAGTCAGAGTCCTGACACCAGCAACGCACTAGCAATTGTGTCAACCATTGTAAGGTTGGCCATCGTAGAGCTCCCAGGAGAAGCTGTAGATACTTCACAATCTCAGCATGATCAGGGGCAGAAGCACCACTAAGAAGGCCAATAAAAACACATGTGTCACAACCGAGACCCTAGAACGGCGCCCTGGGACAAGCGTGCATCACCCGCAGAATCTGACTGGCTCTGTAGTGTGTCTTCATGTCTTGCAGGACCCACATTTCAGATCAAGACAGTCGATCAAGCCGCTTCATCTTGAGTCCTAAGGCCACAGTGTCGCCACAGGTAGGCAACTGTGTCACAGACCCTCTGCATTTCAACAGTTTGACACAGGCCAAGCATGGTCACAAGCAGCAGCAATTTGCTCAGGAGGGTCTCGCCGTAACTCCTAGACCCTAGACCTAAAGCCCGAAAGGCTGAAATCCATTCTGCAATCGCAAAGCCCCAGATCCTGCAGCCTAAACGCACCGACGCCAAGCGCATCAGCGCCTGATTTTCAGGCGAGGTGTGGCCTCGACCTGGTGGGGCGGTCATGGTCCGATGCGGCGTCGAGGTTGCAACATTGAGGTTTTCGCTCAGGTGCCCTTAGGCCTTAGGTTTTCGGTAATTACCCTTATCCCTAACCCTAGCGGTTGAGGTTCAATAGCTCTCGGTCGGCGTGCTATTGCACGTCAGCGAAGCGGTCATGACTGCTTTGTCGTATGAGGAGCTCCTGTGCTTCGGGGCATGCTGAACCCGATTGACACCATCGTCCAAGCCGTCCTGTTGTTTCCGCTCCTGTTCTCGTAAGTCTCGCTGCTGTCGCTAGATGGAAAGCCTAGGATGCCCAGTAGTACCCTTATTCCCTCTTTGTAGTCCTAGGTTCCCTATAAAGTTACCCAATACCAAAAAGGGAGCCCTTTTTATTCCTAGGATACTGGGCATCCTAGTAGCTCCTCCAGCAATTTCTGCCTTCAGCTTACATCTTGAGCCTGCCTTGGACCATATGGTGTGGTGTTTAGCTTCATTTTTGCGGAGCCGAAAATTCCCTCGAAGTGAAACCCCAATAACGTAGCCCGAAGTCATAATGACACACCGTGAACTCAATGGCATAAAGCCTCAAACCCTACGCCGAAGCCCCCAAATGCCCAGGACAAGACTCATAATATAGATAAACTAGGACCTTAATAGTAGCCTTATTACAGATTGCTACTGTGTGGGGCCCCCTAAAAACCTAAACCCTAAACCCCAGGACAGGTGTATCTGGCTCCTCTTACTGCTCCGCATGCCTGGGCTCCCTCTGCGCAGCTGCGCGAGGGCTGCAGCCTGAGAAGTTGATTGGTTTGCTTAAAGGATCATGGATTTCAGCAACTAGGGTTCCTTAAAGGGCTCCTTAAAAGGGATTTTTAGGGGCTCTATTATAAGAGGGGTTTTAGGATCTACTTAAAGGATCATGGAATTCAGTAACTAGAGTTATTATTAGGGTAACTATACTTATAACCCCAATTAGGGTACTTATAACCTTACTTACTAAGTCCCATGATCCTCCAAGTGGGGTTTAGGACATTCATTGACCACTACAGCAAACAAACCATTGATCGAAAAGATAAGATGTTCTGTGACTGTCGACATAGATACGCATCTACTGTACGTATATACGTAATGCTTACACATACACAGCTTTCGTTTTGTGCATCAGGACTCCATAGCATGCATGAGTCTGCATTACATCTTTTTGTGAGACACTTGGGCTGTGGTGGTTGGAGGTCAGTGGTTGCCACCTCGGGATGCAATAATTTGCCTGCGAAGTCATCAGTTACTCTTGAACATCTGGCATCCTTCATCAGCCGTGAGTTTTTACAACAGCAAGACAGTAGTTTCGGAAATTGCAGCAAGAACAACAGCAGGATAATGACGATAGTGTCAGATCAGCCTCCTGAAGAGAGAGAGAGAGAGAGAGAGAGAGAGAGAGAGAGAGAGAGAGAGAGAGAGAGAGAGAGAGAGAGAGAGAGAGAGAGAGAGAGAGAGAAAGAGAGAGAGAGAGAGAGAACGAGAGAGATAGAGAGAGAGAGAACGAGAGAGAACGAGAGAGAACGAGAGAGAACGAGAGAGAACGAGAGAGAACGAGAGAGAACGAGAGACAACGAGAGAGAACGAGAGAGACCGAGAGAGAACGAGAGAGAGAGAGAGAGAGAGAGGCCCCTAATCTGTGGAACCCCAAATACCTCCGTTAGAAACCCTGTACGCCGTGGGAGATGTGCTTCTGGAAAGCGCCTCCCTTTACATGGCAGCTGCCGCGGATGTCACTGCGCTGAAAACGACGTCCGCGGCGTTTCAGGAGGAGGTGACACCGCCGAAAGCAGCTTTGAGTCAGGCTACAAGGACTTCTGCGCGGACCTCGAGAAGCATCCATTGGCACGCGAAGCGCAGTCGGTCCCTCTGCTGCCGCCGATCTCCGAGACCTGTTCGCCTGTGTCAGCAGCTGGAGGCGGGCCGGTGGAGATTTTGGTGTCCGTTCCTCGCGCACCGGAGGCAAGATGGGACTTGTTTTCCGACTCCAGGGCTGCAGTGCACGACAGCCGCTTACTTACACAAGCTCCGCTGCTGCAGAGAGAGAGAGAGAGAGAGAGAGAGAGAGCGCGAGAGAGAGAGCGAGAGAGAGAGAGAGAACGAGAGAGAACGAGAGAGAGAGAGAGAACGAGAGAGAACGAAAGAGAACGAGAGAGAGAGAGAGAGAACGAGAGAGATAGAGAGAGAGAGAACGAGAGAGAACGAGAGAGAACGAGAGAGAACGAGAGAGAACGAGAGAGAACGAGAGAGAACGAGAGAGAGAGAGAGAGGCCCCTATAATCTGTGGAACCCCAAATACCTCTGTTAGAAACCCTGTACGCCGTGGGAGATGTGCTTCTGGAAAGCGCCTCCCTTTACATGGCAGCTGCCGCGGATGTCACTGCGCTGAAAACGACGTCCGCGGCGTTTCAGGAGGAGGTGACACCGCCGAAAGCAGCTTTGAGTCAGGCTACAAGGACTTCTGCGCGGACCTCGAGAAGCATCCATTGGCACGCGAAGCGCAGTCGGTCCCTCTGCTGCCGCCGATCTCCGAGACCTGTTCGCCTGTGTCAGCAGCTGGAGGCGGGCCGGTGGAGATTTTGGTGTCCGTTCCTCGCGCACCGGAGGCAAGATGGGACTTGTTTTCCGACTCCAGGGCTGCAGTGCACGACAGCCGCTTACTTACACAAGCTCCGCTGCTGCAGAGGGAGAGAGAGAGAGAGAGAGAGAGAATGCGGCTGGGTCCGGAATGCGATCAGCTCGACGGGTCCGGTGAAGAGGTCCGAACATCTACGCGAAGCTTTGGTCTTGTCTTGTCTGAAAGTGTCTTCAGTTTCAGTAGCAGTTTCAGTAGCAGTATATAGCAGTAGCAGTATCAGTAGCAGTAGCAGTAGCAGTAGCAGTAGCAGTAGTAGTAGTAGTAGTAGTAGTAGTAGTAGTAGTAGTCCTTGTGGTGGTGGTGGAAGTCGTAGTGCTAGTGGGAGTGAGTGGCAGTGGTAACATCAGCCGCAGCTGCCGCAGTGGCAGTAGCAGTGGCTACTACCACTAACTATATACAACTACCGCCACTACCACTACCAGCACATGCACGCCCGCCACGGCCACCGCCGCCATGACCATGTCGCCTGCCGCGACCACCACCACGACTTCCGCCGCGAATTGTAATGATGCCAATGTCATGTTTGTAGCAGAATAATCAGGAATACCCATACTGGTAGCACCTAGTAGCAATGTGACCGGCAGCAGTTGTAAGTTAACGTGGGCAACCAGAAACACGTCGAACTGCTCCTCCTTCTCCCTCCCGACCTTCCCATAAGGTTGTTCTTCCTGTCTATCTATAAAACTGAAATTGTTGGATTCAGGGCTTGGGTTTACAAAATCTAAACCCTCAACTGTATAGGACTTAGGGTTTGGGTTTGGCAGACCCTAGACATCCCTACGCGCTAGACCGTAGGATGTAGGGTTTAGGGTTTTGCTCTTCCTTGTCGCCCTTTCCAAGTGCCCGAGGTTGGAACACGAAAAGGCAATTGCAGCACGTTTTCGTGGCTTCGGGACCAAGGGCCATCTGCGCCTCGCCCTGGGACTGCTTACCTTTGGTTAGTAGGGAATGGAAGAATGGTAGTAATAGTTGTACCCCATTCCTCCATTCCCTACTAACCAAAGGTAAGACTGGGCAGGGTGGGGTTCTGGAAGGCTTTCTTTCGGAGTTGGAACTTTTGGAAGCTGCGAGCGGAGATCAACATCAAAAGTTGCAGTTTGGTTCATAACGCACGTCCGCCAAAGGAGCTAAAGTTATTTCATGTGACGTAGCATAGGAGCCCGGATAAGTAGTAACACTATTCCTTAGGGCTCCCTACTAGAACTATACACTATACCTTATTGAGGCCCCTCCGAGACAAACGAGTCCCGGTCAATCTGAGGCCCGCGGCTGCTGGTCTTCGGAGCCGACGGCGTGGCTGCCAGTGGCGCCGGCGAGATCTGCGCGCAGCGTGAGGCCTTGAGGGCACGCAGGGTGGCTTCGGCCTAGACTTTCCATAGTTTCAGCGATTGCTGTAGTGCGTGCTTAATTGTTGTAAGTATGTGTGCTGCAAAAGCCAACATTGGACATGTCAGTATGTTGTGAGGCTCGAGACCTCAGTGAAGTTTACTACGACACGGGAAGCCGAAAGACACCAGCGAATCAAAGGTCTCGAATGCCTGGCTCTTTCGGTCGGCTGGGGATTGCCGGGTAGGAGCCCAAAGACCCAAGTGCACTGGATGACTAAGTTGCTCCGGCGGCTGGGTGTAGACATGGAAGCGGCGACGGGACTGCCCTGCCCCTTGTGGTACCGTGGCCTTGCACTGCACGTTGACGGCGCAGGGGTACGGGTTCGGTCGGTTTGATTGCTGGAGGCATATGAGCGGGCAGAGAAGACCGTCGCTGCAGTGGCATGTTTGGGAGACAGCAACTGAAATATGGGTTTCTAGCGTAGCTGCCGCTCACTGCTAAACCTGTAGAGAATGGGTTGAGACGCCGATCGCTCTACTTAAGCTATCGGTGGTATGATACATGTATACAGTATACAGTACTGAACATTTGTGAGCCCTCCGTTCTCTTGAAGTCTGGTGCTGCCCAGGCAATCGCGCGTCGTCCCTTGTCTGCTTCCACGCCCGCGGAGCATCCTTGCACGAGCCGGGCGTGCTGAACCGAAAAGAGGGCGCACGGCACTGCACCTGCACTATATTCTAGTGGAGACGGCTGATTCATACCTCCCTTTCCCTAGGGGATCCGAACATCAAGGCACTCAATGTCTAAAGTAGAGTCCACAATACCTGACCTGCAAATCCGGGCCCGGTGAAGATTTGGATGTATTTCCTTGCTGAGGATGGCATCCATGGGCATGTTGGCGCTGCCCGAGCCTCAAATTGTGGCAAACAGCCGCAACAGAGTTTCACAGGGGCCTCTTCAGAATGTTATAATGGTGTTTAGAGGTTTTCAGTTTTCAGTAGGGTCCAACACCTCATACTGAGCCTCTCCCCTAAACCCCAAAAACCGTAAGCCGTTGATGGCTCCTAGCAGACTGTTTAGGCTCACGACCTCTGGCAGACAGTTCTCTGCTCTGTTCTGCTGAACGGAGTGGACCCTGGAAGCTAACGTATCCATTCACTTCCATCTTTGTTTACATGTATACTTGTGTGTATGTATGTACGTATATATGTAAGCATGCGATGGATGGATGGATGGATGGATGGATGGAAGGACGGAGGAATGGATGGATGGATGCATGCATATGTACGCATATGTATGTATTTGTGTATGCATGTATGTCACGCATGTAACGTGTGTAACGTAGGTAGGTAGGTAGGTAGGTAGGTAGGTAGGTAGGTAGTAGGTTTATTTGAGTTTTGTTTGTCTGTGCTGTATGATTGTACACGCACTCATGTAAGTGTATATACATATATGTGTATATGCATACATGTATATGATTATATACAACTTACAATTAATGTACAAACTTGTGGGTTTGCTTGCTTATTGATCGGGTTTCTATGGCCTTCCCAGTGACCCAGTGACTGTGAAAGTATCCCGGGCTAAAGGCTGAAGCTGGGATTCGCACTCTGCTACTTAGCGAACCCGGGCTCGCGACTCGCTGAATTAGGCGCATTCCGTCCAAGTGAGGCTCTCTGTCTTCGGGCTACTTATCATGGAGTCCGCCAGACATATGCAAGAGCACTGGGACGTGTACCAGAAGGCACGGGTATTGCCTGTTGTTCTTGTAATTGGTGCCATCAGCTTGGCCAAGCAAGATTAATTGCTAGTATTAGTAATACTAGCAGTAGTAATGGCAATGTGACTCTGGGTTCGCACATCTTTTCTCTCGCGCCGGACTGCCCCCAGTTATCCGCCAACAGCTAAGCATTGCCTTATGCGAACATGTAAGCTTGAGAGTTTCAGACTGGCCAAGAAGGGGTCTGACAAAGTTGTATTCTCCAATGGCTTCGCTTACCATCTCAATGCACGTCAGGGCTACGATATCGTGCAGGATGCTATGCTGTTTCATTGCGATTGACTGGAGATTTCGGGTTGGGATTGACTGCGTTGTGGTTTCCGTTCTCCGTTGGGATTTGTGGTTTTCGTTTATTGCACCTTTCGCCTCGCCTGCTGAATTGACCCTCGCAGCGCCCACAACAACCTGGAGGGCTGGGTTTTGGAATAGCTGTCAGGCATTGGCCCACCCGTGTTCGAGCCGAATTTGTGTCGACATTGCGCAATTGCATCGAAATTGTTACCATCCGGGAACACATGAAATGGTGTATTAAGACTGCATCCGAAGGGCATTCGATCCGATGGGTAACCAGAGGTCTGCCAGGGGCTGCAGGGATTGAGCCTCAGGCTAGCCGGCTGGGCTTGAACTCACGACCCAGGCTCTACCAGAACTCTACTAAATTGTTTATCTATCTGCCTGTAGGCAAGTATGAGGAGAAGAAGCAGATATCATGCTCACCGAAAGATAGGGACTGATAGAGAGGCTCTGAGCCTCAAGCCCTGAACGGTACCTGAAGGGTGCGGATCAGCTGACGCGCGACCTTCTCTCGCTCTTCAGCAAAGTCCCGGAGAGCTTCAAGAAGCAGTACCAGGACTTGAGATGCTTCGACCACGAAGACAGGAAGTTGCTCCGCACCACGGGTCATTTCAATGATTTCGGGTTCCCTTGCATTTCCCTTGCACCGAAGGAGACCGCCATTCCTCCCTGACCCAAGAAGTCCATCTACCTGTCACTGTCTTTCACGGTCTGTCATTTGCGGAAAACTACGATGCCTAACAGTCCTTGTTACCCTTTCCACGTTATACTCATGCTGGACAGGAGGTGAGCGCGGACACCGTGAAATCCGCTCAGGATCTCTTCTATTCTTTGCTAGGCGCCATGGATCTGTGCTTGGCGCTTGAAGCACCGATGCTTGCTAAGCGTTGAGGATCGTTGTCAGCGTTGTGGGGGTCTCTTCCAAGCAATGAGGATGCATCCTTGGCATCAGCACTAAAGTTAAAGGAGTGTACTGAAGGGAGCCTCGTGGAGATGAACCTGTCTCGGCCGCGTGTTGCATGGCAAGTCTAGCAACGATCGTGCAGTGACGATCGGAACAGTCATGCACCGGTCGGCGCCGTCCCGGTAGGTAACATTGTGAACAACGTCAGTTCGTTGATTTTGGGCGTGCCGTTCTCAGCCGTCCTGCTTTCGGCAGTATAGGGTTCCTGGTTCTTTGAAGCCGTCCTGTTCTAGTTTCAGTTGCCGGAAATGCTCGCCGCATGAGACTCTCCGAGCCCCTCGGTGTTTTTTGACCTTTCAGCCGCTAAACCCTTGGAAACCCTTCAATCAAAAAAGGCCCTCAACCCTGAACCTAGGTGCTGCTGACCATGCTCTACACGTTGTTTTGGCTTTGCAGCCCCGTTCCCATGGATGGGGCCTGAGTCGCAGCCGGAGGTTCACGGAGATCCTAATTTGGCTGGTGCTGTTAGCCATTAGATGTAGCGTGTATTCTGTGCATACATAAGCAAGCAAACAAATCCATCTTTCCGCCTATCTATCCATCCATCCAGCTATGTATGCATACGGCGTCTTTATCTGTCTGCACATCTCCATCTCCCTGTCCCTCTCTCTCGCTCTCTCTCGTAGCTGCCACGGTCCAAGGATTCTTCCGTGGATGTCATGTTCCGCAAGTACATCATGCCAGAGCCTGAGTTCCAGCTCTGGGCAAGTCTCCAAACTTCGCTCGGAATTGCATTCCGGGACAACTTAGCTTTGGTTAGTAGGGAATGGAGGAATGGGGTACAAGCATAGCATAACTACTACTACCATTCTTCCATTCCCTACGAACCACAGGTAAGTCAAATGGTCTTTGTGACTCTGATGGAAAGCCTAGACCGCCTGCAGGACCTCGTGACACCGGCACCCTCAACAGCCAGGGCTCCAACCTCTCTGTCCCCCCGAGCTTTCAGGCTTCAACAACCAATGCAAAGCACTAAACTTCTCAACGCTGACGAGGCGATGCCTGGATTCGCATGCTGCCCACAAGCATGTGAAGGTAAACCCACAGTTCGCGGACGGCAAAACACACTGACTTCAACCCTTGATGTCCCTGGTTAACCTGAGAATTGGAACACAATGTCTCGGAACACTGAAAACGGCCCTGCTAAGAATTTCATAACTGCTTTAGATTCGAGGTTCAAGACCCTGGCCTGTTTCGGCTACGGCATCTCGGCCGGGCTTCTTCTCTACTTCCTCTCCGTGGATCTTGCGTGCAGTCCTTGGGGGGTTGGCTGGCGGAGCTGGCTGTTCAGGCTTGTGGTTGTGGGGTTTCTATACCGTGAACGGATGTAGGTTAGTTAGGTGCTTGCGGCAAGGGAGAGTTTCGGAACACTATGTAGGTTGCCGTTGCTTGACATGTGTTTCGGCATTAGTACATTGTCCGCAGGTAGCTTTGTATGATTATGTGATAGCACTTCGTACAGTCGTGCCTTCCAGGCCCCGCTGCTTCTTGCTTTCTTTCCTTTGCCTATCACAACATAAGGCATGGAGTCGCACCCCCACCCCCGAAACCCTAAACCCCCTAACGGCTTGAAGGAGGTTTAGGGGCTTTGTGCGCGCAGAGGTCGGTCTTCGCGCTGACGACCTTCGCGCTCAACTTTGTACCTGAGGCCCGGAGCGGCTGCGAGTCCACTGCTTCATCTAGTCGGGACGTCTGCAGCTCCAAACTTTTGACTACTTTTACGACTGGTTATATTACCGTATACGCCGTAATTATCATAAATATACTGAGACCTTACTATGACGCACTATAGCGAAGCTACGAAGCGTCCGTAGAAAGCTCGCCGTTGCTCTTGATGTCCGCTGGCCTGCAGGTGGGTCCTTTCATCGCCATGGCCCGGCCCCTAAGTAAGTCGGATATGTGTTAATATATATATATATATATACACACACATGTTACAGAACTATATTACATATTGCACATATTACACATGCTATAAATATATATATATATAGATATGTATATATATATATACACATATGTACACATATACTCATGTGTGTGTATGTATATATATATATATGTATATGGGCGGTTGTCAAAATGATGGTCTGCTTGGAAGCCGTGCTTCGTTTCTGGGCATTCTGAGGTACTGCCATGTCCTGTCATTATCCTTGACAGCCGCATCGACCGGCCGATGCTGGTCGGGAAGCCAGTTCTTTCTCGGCTATTGGGAGATGAGGGATTCGTGGAGGGCTGTGAGGGGTGCATGTGTATAGTCTTTAATACTTTCGCCACCCTTCATCGACTGAGGTGCATTAGATACTATGTTGGCATTGAAACTTCGCATCTAGTGCGTTCAATGTGGTCTAATCTTGTGGTCGCGCATTTCCTCAAACTGTCACGTACACAGCCAGTCCGCTTGCCACTCTTCTCGACCTCTTCGAGCCTTCTCATATTGTAAAGCAAAGCCAACGTTGGTCTCAGAGCTTTTTGGGTCTTTGGTTGTCGAAATGTCACCACTTTTCCTGCCAAAGCCAACCTTGAGTAGTCTTGCTGGATTTGTGCTAGCTTTTAGTGCCAGTTGGAGAAGGGGCCATCACGAAGTAACTCTGAACCTGAACCGTTCGGTAGTGTTGTTGTGTTTTTGGTTCGGATGAGATACCGTGGCTACAACCAAGAGCGAGCGAGGAGGAAGCTGAAGCAATGACGTGATTGCAGTACCGATGACCACAGTCGCAGCCATAGCCCGCCCACAACGAGAAACAGTGCAACAGGTATCCGCACTTGTAAGAATATCCTGCAGTCCTGGACTCGAAGTTGCAACATTTCTCACAATCAATGAGTCAATGATTATAGTATTTATAGTAGCTACATAACATACGGATCATAGTATTGTAGTAATTATAGTACCACCCCTCTCGATCCCTCTCGTTCGCAGGTGCTTTTCGTCGCGATTCTCGGCCAGCTTGCCTTGAAGTTTGCTTTTAGCAACATCATTGAGGCACGCCGCCCGTCCAGCAGCGAAAAGAGAGCTTCGGGTTTTGGGGTTTGGGTTTTAGGGTCCATGGCTATGTTCTCGTATGGGCGACTGACTGTTGCTGGAGACATAAGAAGAGGTACGAGCAAAAACTTGCAGTTGTGGCAGCAGAGATGCTGTACCCGAGCCAGGATATCGGCACGTCTAGTTGTGCAGCGCATGGTCATTGGTAGAGTACTTGGCACTTGTGTACTCGGAGCCCTTCCTGATTGATGCTTCCGGATTGCAATGTGTTGAAGGTGAAGCTCATTGAGAGTGACAAGAAGCTCCGCATGCATCCGGTCATGATCCTCTTGTGTGGCGCCCGGTGCCGATGAGCACTTCTTCAAACTTTCCTAAGCCGTAAAGGAGAGACAGAGAGACAGAGAGAGAGAGATAACCCTCAACCGGTTAACAGTTTCACTGCCAAGACCACGGACTCGGTGCGCACACGTGCGCGGGAGGGGCGCCTGCTTCTCCTTGTCCGAGTGCAAGCAAGAGAGATAACCCATACGGCTCATACTACTTCATACTACTGGCACTGGCGCTTGTCTTGCAGAGCTCAAGGGCAACCCTCACCACTACAAGCAATTCCTTAAGTCCCTCCCATTGTCGCCGTGATCGCCGTCACCTTCACCATCAGCGTTGCTATCACCGCCATCAGCAACATCATCATCATCATCATCATCATCATCATTAACATCGTCACCTTCGTTCCTCATGCCGAAGTAGCATAAGCCGCACTCCCAATGCTTTGATCATGTCCCGCAGATTCACACTGGCACTGTTGTTGTTTTGTACTGTCAACCTGCTGCAATTATGTGCTGCGCCTGCAGCATAACGTGGCTGCTGCTGCTGCTGCTGCTGCTGCTGCTGGCGGCGGCGGCGGCGGTGGCGGCGGCTGCTGCTGCTGCTGCAAATTTCCTATTACCTGCACTGTAAACCTGGTGCATTCAGGGCTCTCGTTACGAAGTACTACGAGCACTGACAAAGCTGACCCGAAAAGCAACTCGATGGAAATCGGCTGAGGTCAGTGGGAGTCTTCGGATACTTGTGGGGGCCGACCGGCATGCTGTCCCCGCCTTACGAAAGATTCTTTGCAGATCGACCAGCATCAAAGAATTCCGGCGGCCCTCCCGTCAGTAATGTCGATCAATACGTAGGCTGGGCACAAAAAGCAAGCGCAGCAGCAACAACAACAACAGCCACCGCGAAAGCGACGGCGACAAACACAAGTAGAGCAACTGCAAAGCATGTTTCATAAAGTATCATGCCCATGATCATCATCAGCTACAACCACAAGCACACACAAGCACACAAGCACAACACCCGCACCCACAACCACAAGTGCCTCGACGACGATCACAACGACCGCGAGCGCGATGACAACGACGATGAACGGAAGTAGCAAGCACGACACAGCCACCGGCAGCACACCGTCACAAACTCTCCACCACATCGATCATTTGCGCAGCCGCAACACAGCACAGCAATGGCAACAGCAGGGAACTTCAGCCATAAACTCGTATGATGAGCAGGAACTGTGGTTCTCTGGCCAGGTTTGTAGCAATACATTCAGTATCATGTTGCTCGCTTTTGCTGACTGTAGCTGCTTCACAGCTGAATGGTGCTGCCTTGAGGCATTCTTCCTGGTAGTCATGACCCATGAAAGTTGCAGGGGCGCCCCTGCATTCTCGAGGCTTAGTGTGCCCCTGATGGCCCTCATGAAGATCGCTCTCTTCTCGGAGCTGGTGTGGGCAACCGAGAGCTCGGCTTTGCTTAGATTCTAGCGCCAGCCGGTCGTCGTATCGCACTTCCGACGGAAGGCACTGTCGACATCCGCTTGGGTTTCCAAAGGGCATCAACGTTACGATATTGTCTCCACAGGGGTGGGTACAAGACTTTTGTTGGCTTTAAAGGGAGCTCGGCATTGCGTCGGCAGTGCATGATCCCATATCCTGGTGTCGGCAAGAAGAGGACGAGCACCCAGAGCAACTGTAGTGCAATAACCACAGCAGGAGCCAGAAGAGCCTCGTATTCTCAAGTTTAGACAGCACGCATTCCTGTTGCGGCCATCCATGTCATGGCCTTCCAATGCTACCCTCATTAGGACTGTATGACTATGGACATTGGCACTTTGAGCTCTTGTGGGGCTGAGGCCTTCCTCCTACCGCGACCCCATCCTCGTGATCCTCGAGGGGGACCGGAATGCACCGCGGAAACACGGCCTGAAGGCGGGATTTCGCGATTCAGTTTAGGATCCTCCGGACCAATTTAGGATGATGACCGACCGGTATGGCTTCCTTATCAGTGCACTCCCAACTTCTGGTGGAAGCCCGGGCAGCCTTTCTGTAACGTCTTCCGTGCCTTTGGCTAGTCGTAATTAAGTTAGGGTGCGTTTCCGGTGCAATCTTGAATGGAAGAGCCCGATTGCAGATGTGAGATGTCTTCTTTACCTTGACACGACTATGGTACTATAGTATTGTAGTACTCTACTGTTAATAGTATACTACGGGTCTAGTAACTACTGTACCAGCCCGACATCGGCCCCGAAACGAAGCTTCCGCCCCTTGGCCTCGGCAGGGCAGCTCGAAGCCCGGGGCCCGGCATTCTGAGGTCGCAGGCGGTGACGCGGAGATCGAAGGTCCTTTCAGATCAGGGGCAGGGGCCCGTGCAGCTGTCGTCGTGGTGGTGGTGGTGGTGGTGGTGGGGTGGTGGCATCTGACTGCGAAGGTGGCTTGCGTAGATCACTGCTCGAAAGCAGCTCGAAAGCTCAGGCGGGCTAGCACCCGGCGAGCTGCGCCTGGTGGCTGATGGGTTTGTCCTCTTGGACACGGGTTGAAGATAGGGTTCTCGGTGAAGCATGACGGGCTTGCTCAGCTGTATATCAGATTAGTTGAAGATGCCAACCAGTCGTCATCTTCACTGTGACACTGTGCGCCAGCAAAGCTTTCCTGGCCAGTTAACGACATGTCTCTTGCAGCAGCAGTCACTGCAGGGACACTGTGCATAGACGACCCTGGTGCCAGAGCTTAAGAAAGGCGTTCACTCACAGGCTTTGCGTTGCACACCCAATGTCTGCCCATCCACAGGCTCACCTGCAGGTTGGATAACTTCTGACGAGCGAGTAGGTTTGAAATTCCAGCAACTTGCCCTCAGCTGGCGAACATTCAGACACGTTCCTCCGACGTGGAAGGTGGAGAACCAAAAAATTCTGTCGATCTTGAACCGGCCTGGACCTCAGAAGTACTATAGGGGCCTTAATAATTACCTACACTATTTTGAGGGTTCCTTTTTATAACTATAGCATAATGAGCCCCAAAACCATATTCTAATGCCTGGGCCTCGGAGGTATACCAGGACGGAGGACATGGACGCGACAAGCCGATTTCCAACAGACAGTCTATCAAAATGGCAATGGCTGTGCACCTATGGTTGGTTTTGTATAGCACACATATAGAACATGAGTGTGTGAGTGAGTGAGTGAGTGAGTGAGTGAGTGAGTAAGTGAGTGAGTGAGTGAGTGTGTGTGTGTGTGTATGTGTGTAAATCTAAATGCAGCAGCAGTGTAGGTTTTCCCTGTGCAGGGAAAAGAATGAAAGCCAAAAAACTTCCGCTCCACCCGGCCCAGCTGTTGCCATCACATCCCTGCTCCGCCAGGCACCCCGTAGAAAGGACGAACTTCTTGAAGCTTGTCGAGGCTCGCGTGGCGAGTTGCTACTCTGCATTTTCTGGGCATGAGCCAGTCGTTTATGCCTCTTTGGGAAGCGAGCCTCTGGTACCTAGTAGTATTTCCTGGGACACTATGTGTCAAGCATTCATAAGCTGGATGATGCCCGACAACTCAAGCACACACAGGATTTCTTCTGGGCTGCTCTTTTCCTCAAGAATTGCTGTTGAAGTCTGAGACGTAGTGGTCTCAGGCTCAGCAGGTGTCTTATGGCGTCTTGGCTCTGCACACAAACCTGATGTGCCAGGAGCACTTGGACAAACTGGCCGCGCCGCGGGTGATCTACCACAAGGCTGGAACTTCAGTTGTAGACCTCGGAAGGGCGCATGAGCGGTTTCTCTGCATCGGTACACATATCACGAGCTCCCCCAAAAGATGCTGATGCGGCTCTTTGATTCGACCAGCTCTTCGCGGACTTTTCGCAGCAGTTCCGAACCCTCATCGGCGTCAACTGTGAGAGGAGCGCCTGTGCGACCGGGAAGAGTCGAGTGCCTTCGTTCTGGGCCAGTCCTGTGAGTAGCAACAAGAAGCTTGGTGGAGCAGTCAGGTCGTCAGGGCTACTTCTGCACTGGCTTAAATTGGAAAGCATGAGTGCCCAAGGCAACTCGGATAGAGCTCGATGCAAGCATCCTGGTTGCATGAGGACCTATTCGAATCTGAAAGTGGGAACCCTGAAGCACCAAGCCCTCACGGCCCTTGACCCGAAACCGCTAAACTCTTCAATGACAAGCCAAGCCTTCTTAGCTTCGTGCCAGGAAGCTCTTCTTCCCACAGGAAGTCATCGTCAAGGAGGGTGGCACAGGCCAGAAGCTTTCGCAGCCTAAACGACACACGGTACCCCCCAAGAAGCGATGAAGTTTCCCGCTGAAGTCGGACACCCATGTCCTACCGTTTCTAAGTTATGCAAGGCCCCGGCATGCTTACACTTCTAATTTGGAAGGAGGCCGAGAGCACAAGTCCATGACAGCGGAATACTGAACCGCAATAAAGTGGAAACCAAATCATAGGAGCAGCAGGGTGAGAAAGGACCAGAGATCATGGGACAAGTCAGAGAGTAGCAGTAGCTGCGATGACCAAGAACTTCTAAACTTCACAGTCAAGGTTTGTAAGTTTCAGTAAGGGTGTCGACATCAGCTGGTTATCCTAGAGGAAGGCGTGCTTTTAAACGCAGGCATGATTCTTCGCGCCCGATCCTCGCTGGAGGCAACAGAATGTACATCATGAACCTTGGCAGCGCAACGGTCAAGGTGCCGCAATCAGACAGGATGGGTGTGCATTAGACTTCTTAGCGCATGCTGGAGCATGACGCGTCTAACAGGCTGCGCTGTAGAACCTGCCATGGCTTTTAGGGCTGTGGCATGTCCGGGGTCGCAGACAGTGCTTAGCGGTTGCAGCATGGGTGCGGTGCATTGGCGTTCAAGCGTATAGTAGGGGGCAAGTTGTAAGAAGACACGAGAGTATACTGGACGGAGTATGAGGTACAAACACACTCTCGGAAGCAACAGCAGGGGCAGCAGAAACTGTAGAATATTTCGGTATACTTCGGTTCTGCAACACTTCGCGGCGAGCATTTGAGCATACAGTGCACCTCCCCTCCTCTTGACCAAATGCTCGCAGACAGAGCTTGACTTATCGCTGGAATTATCAAGGATGTTGATAGTGGTCGGGCATTGATGTTGCCGACTCTCACGCTTTTCACACTGCTTGTATGTCCCCTTCCCCTGCTTCTGGCATCACGCAGGTGTCCAAGCAGTGCGTCATGCAGATCCGGGGCGGGCCGAGGGCCTCAGTTACTTCAGACATTCCGAACTTGACAGTGGCAGCGGCGAGGGTCCGTCTTGCGATTCTGGATTACCTCGAGTGTCTCGGTCGTGAACTACGACTGTCCCGGCTAGATGTTGTGATTTGTTGACCAGGAACTGTCAAGGCCGGCCTGCTGCCAGAGGGCCGTAAAGGTCCTCTGTACTGGTAGTACTGGTAGTAAATGCAGCAATGGACCAGCGCTCAGTGCAAGCCTTGCGAGGTCCCACTTTGGCTTCAACATGCTGTGCTCAGACAAGGCTGCATGATGAGTATGCAACTAGCACCCTCCTCCTTCTCGACGTGAAGATGGGCACAGTGTGGTAATCCTGTAGCAATCTGAGTTCAGTGACGACGACGATGAGTTTTGCAGCACTTGACGGAAGCTTCGGTGGCTGCCGTATCGGTCAGGCTTGAAGATACTCATGTTCCCGCCACTTCCAGGAGCGGTACACCATGTCCATCACTACAGACACCATGCGCGGGACCGAGCCCGTTCTTCAGGTATATTATGAGGGCTATACGGGAATCCTGCTTCTAATCTTCCGCCCTGTTATTGCTACACACGGAATCAGTCGATGCTCACATCGCATAGGATATCCCCAAGTCCTACTCTAATTACAAGCGCAGTCATCTGGATAATGATTGGACGATCAAGGTTTTGTGAGTATTCACGTAGTGTTTGTTTTTGTTGATCGTTTGCTTTACTTCTATTGGTGCTATTATTCGATTGTTACTAGTATTGCAACTACTTCCTTCATTTCTTTCGGTATTAACCAGTGCTCGCCATATTCAAGACGAAAATGGTGTCGCCTTTGTTATTGTTGCTATTGCAGGGTTCGGGTTAGGATTTCCTTAGCTGCTGTGCATATATATATATATATATATATATATACTTACATGAGTAATAGTAACACTATACACATACATACAGACATACATACAGACATGTATAGCACTCCCCTGATCTGCTACCACTCCCTGGCTTTCTGGTTTAGGCCAGAAGTCTTCAACTCATAGATAACGGGGCAGATGTCCAGTCCAGCGCACTCGATGGCAGGTGCCAGGTGCTTGTGGTGACGAGGCTGCGAGCTCGGATGTATGCTGTCCTTATCTCACAGAAATAACAAGATTCACTTGAAGATGTCTAGCTGAAGATCTTGCATGGTGACTTTTTTGCTGCCAGTGCAAGTACGAGTACACTCTTGCATGGCATTGCTTTTCGTGACAGTTGCCAATTCATTTCCAGATGTCACACACACACACACTATTTGGCTGACTGGGTGTTTGGGCAACATGGAGTCTGTTTCAGGGTATGGTGCCTTTTTGCTCCGGGCAGCCGGCCAACTGTGAATCTTGCAGCTTCCCCTGTCAGCCATCCGATCAGATTAGTGAGATAAGAGTGTGCTTTACGCCGGCCCAGCTCGAAGACAGATCGTTCTAGACACCACGCAAGTGCATATGCACACACACACACACAGACCGACAGAGACAGACGGACATGTGCAGACACAGAACGGTCCGAAAGCAACAGCACCCTGTCCGAGGTCCAGCTACCAGCATGCACTGAGCAAGTACCCGGAGATGAGAGAAGTGGCCAAGCAGCTCGAGGCACTTCTTGGTTTCAAGTTTAATCCACGATGCAGTGCTTACACTGCCGGGCTGGAATCCTGAGGCTCCAGACCGGGAATTTTTCGATACAGCAAAAGCAATCGCAGTCATGGAAATGAACGCAAGAAAGGAGATGCAACACAGTAGAGGGGAACTCCTGATGTTCAGGCACGAGAGCGAGCTCGTGAGCGGAAGCAGTTTGCACAGTTCACCAAGCTGGCCGGCAACTTACTACATGGAGCTTGTGCCAGAGACCGCTTACGGATTGCAACTATACGGTAACTGGCTTCAACTTCAAAAGGGATATAGACGACGGCACTGCGGTGCTGCTTCAATCCACGACTGCAACTCGTCGTGCCAGTAAGAATACATCTCTTGCCACCCACCGTTCACGCAACCGCCGCTGTGGTATCATGGCAGCTGCTGTCAGGATGATGCACCGGCTTCTTGCAGCACATGTGTGCAGTTTAGCGAAGGTGCAGCGGCGGCGAGGATTGCGCTACCTAGTGGAGGCTGGGCCTCAAGCGACATATGCCTCGTGAATCTTGCTGAATTCGGAACCAGCTTTGCCTTCAGCATGTGCGGACCGGCTGCGTACTGTTCTACCTCAGATACTTGTAGCTCCTACTCAAGCTCAAAGCAGAATGCATGAGACAAGAGATGACAAGAGAAT